CTCCGCCTCCCCTCCTCCTCCTCCTCTGCCTCCTCCTCCTCCTCCTCCTCCTCCTCCTCCTCACGCCTCCTCTCTCCTCCTCCGACTCCCTCATCCTCCTCCCCTGCCTCCTCCTCCTCCTATCTCCTCCTCCTCCCTTCCGCGCACCCCCCCCCCTCGGCGGCGAGGGGGGCGGGGCCTTCCCCGGGGGGCGCGGGCTCCCCGGCGGGCGGCGGGCCGGGCGGTGCGGCGCGGGCGCCCTCGCTCCGCCTGCGGGTGCGCGCCCGTGCCGCGGGGGGGGCACTTAGGAAGGCGGCCCATGCCGGCAGGGCGCCTCGCTGGGCAGGCCTCTCCTCCTCTCTCCTCCTCCTCCTCCTCCTCCTCCTCCTCCTCCTCCTCGTGGTTTCTGGCCCGTCGTGCCTCGCGTGCACGACGGGAGGCGCTGCGCCGTTTGCCGCCTCCCGGGGCCCTTTTGTTCCGGCCTCGCGGGGCCGTCCAAATGGGACTCGAGGGAGGAGCATCTGGTCCCGGGGGAGAGGGTCCAGACCTCTGGGGGTCGACGCTGTGACAACAACTGCGGCGTCGGGTGTCTGGAGGCCCTGCCCGTTTCGGCGGCGAGCGAGGGGGAGACTCGAGAAGGAGACGGCCGCCTCAGAAGTCGGCGGGGCTCGTCAGACGCCCTCGTGCCTTCTGAGAAGTCTTTTGTCTGTCTTCGGGGAGGGCTTAGAGAAGACTTCTCAGGCCGGAGGGGCTCCGAAACTTCTGAGCAGGCCCGCTTCTCACTTGCCCCCTCGCTCGCCGCCGAATCCAGTGGGCGTGTCATTGCAACGCCCTCTCCGCTGGATCAGGGCCCCGGGGAGGGGGGAGGTCTTCGCTCACGCATGCAGCTTGATCCGTTGAGCAGGGCTGGGGGGTCAGGTCTGCAGAACGCTCCAAACGGACGTCAGGGGTCGCAACCAACATGTTCGGTTGAGCCGAAATTGATGCACCACACCCGGCGTCGAGCCAAAAAACTCTGGACAGCATCGAACGGTTGGATGCTGCACGTCTTCGTCGGCTTAACAACGCGAGGCGCTTGACCGCCTTGACGCCCCTTTTTGAAATCCGCCACCGTGCCCCCCCTGGCACGATGCGGTGCGGCTGAATATCGCAGGTGCTGTCTGGTATGGTCTTCGTCCTCTTCTGCCCCCCCCCCCCTCCCCCTCCTCCTCCTCCTCGCAATGCTACTCCTCCGCCCCCCACCCAGGAGAGCCCAGAGTCGAATCGATAGTCGGATCGGCGATCGACATAAAATCGGATGGGCGACACTCGGCAGCCGAGTCGGCAAAAGTCGGATCGGCGGTCATCGGCAGGCTTATAGGCCTCCAATGAGGAATCGGAGCCCAAATCGGAAGCCGAAGTCGAATCGAATCGGAATCGGGAGCCACCGAAATCGAATCGAATCGGAACGGAGGAATCGAAATGAGCCCTGCCCCCACCTTTCCCAAGGCTTCCAGGGCGCCCCGACGCGTCTCAGGGGCTCTCAGAAGCTCTCCGACGCGTTTACAAGCCCCCGAGGCCGCCAAGACGGCACAAGATTGCCCCAAGACTTCGCAAGATGGGCTCCAGACATCCCTAGAAACCCCGAATGCGGCGCAAGAGGGCTTCAAGAGGAGCCACCCCCTGGAAGACAAGAGGAGGCCCAAACCATTGATTCTCGTCAGGTTTTCAAACTGAGGTTGCGTTCTCGCCTGACTGGGCTTCCGTCAGCCCAATACGGCACAGAAAGACTCCAAGACTGCACCCGGATGGCCCAGAAGGTCCCGAAGAGGTCCTCACGAGGGCCTCAACACTAAGCACTCAAGGTGGCGCAAGGGGGCTCCAGGACGGCCCAGGGATGCTCCTCGAAGCATGTAATATTGCCTCCAAAGTCGCCAGACTGCCCAAGAGCGCCCTGAGACTCTCCCAAGGAGCCCCCAATCGGGCCCCAAGACGCTCCTCAAGAGGCTGCCAAGACGCCCCACAAGAGGAGCGATATCAGAGGAAGTAGAGGCCTACTATATGGGGCTGGAGTAGATGGGGTCTGAGGATCGCTCCGCATCGGCGATACATCGGCGATGCATCGGCTGCATCGGCGACGTCGGCGATGCATCGACGACGTCGGCGTGAAGCAAATCGGGCTCCGCATCGAGCCCCATCGTCGATGCATCAGCGACTCGGCGCGATCCTCCGACCCACTCTACTCCGATCCCATCTAGGGGGCCCAGAGGAAGTGAGGGCGACGACGACGAGCACGAAGAGAGGCACTCCGCCACGACGCGGGAGAGCGTGTCACATAATACGGCTCACCCAAGCCTCGGGGCACAATGTGTCACACCCTCCGGCTTGATGTGCGCCCCTGAGCTGTCGCCACAAACAGAATATGGGTGGGCACGGTGGCGGGACTTGCTGCTGGTACTAGCTGGACACATGGGCATACATATATAGTATGCCTGTGCGCAAGTATGTGTATAAATATCGATGCACGCGTGCGCATGTATTCGCACACGCAGGCACGCACGTTGAAATCATGCGTGCCCATTATCCCGCGTACTGGATATTATCGTCCGCCCTCTTCCTCAATATCCCCATTTGTCCTCCCTCGCACACAATGTGTGAATGACATCGGCCACAACTGTGGTAGCTCACTCCCCACCTGCCATCACATGTTGCCTCACAAAACAAACAAGACACACGGACCAACAAAGTCGAGCACATCAACAAAACAATAAAAAACAATACGTGTAAAACCCAATCGACATACACCAAATTCGAATAACACTCGCATCTCTCTCTGTCCCCCTCCTCCACCAGTCTCTCCGTCCTGGGGCCTCCACGGGTTTCCTGGACACCCTCAGAAGACAGCGACCACCCAAGAACGTGGAATCTTGCCCTTCCTCCGCTCCGACTCACACTCCACTTTCCCCCACAAGCGCCATCGTTCCCCAAAACCATTTTCCCCAAACTCCTCCTCCTAACCCTCCTGTGGAAAGCAACAAAACCACCCCTACAATGAACACCAGGACATGCGAATCCGTGCGGCAACAAACCCGGAGGAATCGGACAGGACAGGGCTGATAAGTAAACTCCCGCACCTGTTTTGTAAACGCTGATGCCAACTTGTGATTAACAACTCCGTGGGGGGCGCATGTTGAACAAATAGTTCCCCTGCTCGGGCGAATTGCGGGGTGGCGCTCGCCAAATTGACAATCAACTGGGCGGCGCCGGTGATTAGCGCCCACGCCCGGGCGCCAACGAGTAGGCGACACACAGCACAGACTGGGGAAGGGGAGGGGGGCGGGAGGCAAAGGCGGCAGAAATAGAAGCAGGGACCGTGAGCCACGGCGGCACCTGTTTGAAATGAAGAAGAACTGCTGTCGGCGCTCGCACCCGCACTTCCCGTGTTCTTTTCTGTCGAACCGATGCGCTTCCTTCGCCCTGGCCGCAGCCAGGGGGGCGCCAGCTGCCTCGAAGGAAGAAAGGGGGCGTGGCCAAGAAGGGATTTGCCCAGCAGCTCACATTGCTGATCTTCCGAGCGCCCCCTGGCGCCCAAAGCGGCCATGCATCGAGGACTGGCCCCTCGGCGGGCGACCGAAACCAGCAGAGCGCAGCAGGTTTCGCAACCGCCCCTTTCCTTCCCCAGCCTTTCGTCCGACCCGAGCAAGGCGGGCGGTCCTCCTCCCCGAGGACGACGGACGGCGGACGGCACACGGCGAAGGCGGCGACGACGACGACGACGCACTGCGGATGCCCTATGGGGGGGGCTGCATTAATCGACGACGACGACGACGAAGAAGACGACGACGACGACGACGACGACGACGGCGGCGGCGGCGGCGCGGCGACGACGACGACGACGATGACGCCACCTGAGAAAGGGTGAACCAGAACTCGCCTTGGAAATGTACGACCCGCTATACAACTGCGATATGAAGGGCAATAGTTTCGAAGCTGTCATGCACGGGAGTACGCGATCTCCTCCGCGGCGCCAGCGACAACCCCCTGGCGCGCGTAATAAAAAAAATCGCGCCCCTCGGGGTCCATTCATCAGCCCCGGGGAGGGGGGTTCGGTCATTTGTTAATCACAAGCTGGCACTACTCATAGGGGTCGAGGTGGTGTTTTCTCCTTTGCTCCTCCTCCTCCTCCTTTTATCCAGTACGCCCTCCTCCTCCTCCTCCTCCTCCTCCTCCTCCTCCTCCTCCTTTCTGTCCAGCCCTCCTCGAGCCCTCCCCCCCCCTTCTGCTCTTCTTCAGGCCCCCCTCTCCCCGTCCCTGCACGAATGCGGAAACGTACATAGTGTCGATCTTGGTCACCGTCGACCTTGGTCAGCGGCATTTCGTGGATCACCCTCAGAAGGGGAGATACGGGCAAATAGGCTCGAAATCGGTGCCCGGACCCCTCCTGGGGTCCATCTGGTGCAAATTTCACATCAGATCTGTTTTTGTCGGCCCCAGGGCCCGAAAACGGCCGCCGGGGCCGGAAAGGGCTACAAGACCCTTTTCGAACCCAGCACCTCGAACCTCCTCCGTAGAATTGTCTTGCTCGCCAGAACCAGCGCTGGGACACCTCAGACCCCCAGGCGACTCCCAAACTCGAGAGCTCTCCTCGTGCTCCTCTTCCTCCTCGGGCCCACCCAGCCCCCAGGAGGCAATGCGGGGGGACGAGGCGGACGACGACGACGACGACGACGACGACGACGACGACGACGACGACGACGGCGGTGGCGGTGGCGACGACGACGACGACGGCGGCGGCGACGCAGAGGAGGACGACGACGACGACGACGACGACGACGACGACGACGACGACGACGACGACGACGACGACGGACGACGGACGACGGACGACGGACGACGACGACGACGGACGACGACGACGACGACGACGACGGCGACGACGACGACGGCGACGGCGAGGTGGCGCCGGCCCTCCTGCAGGAGACGAGCCGCTCCCCGGTCAGCGGGGGCGGCCCAGCGAAGGGGCGCCCGCGCGGCGCTGGAGCCTCCAGGGGCGGCCGCTTGTGGCCGTCCGCCTCTGGGGGGGGGCGCATGGGAGGAGGAGGGGGAGGAGGAGGAGGAGGGGGGGAGGACAAGCTAGGTGCGCTCGCGTCATATCTGACGTCCTACCCCTCCCTTATCCCTTACCATGCGCGCTGATTTTCTCTATCCGCGGACGCGTGTCGTAGCGGACCTGTGGCTCCGCGCGCGCGTGCGTCGTGGGTGGTGGTGCACGTGCGTGCGTGCGTGCGTGTGTGCGTGGTTGTCGTGGTGGTGGTGGTGGTGGTGGTGGTACTGGTGGTGGTGGTGGTGGTGGTGATGGTGGTGGTGGTGGTGCTGGTGGTGGTGGTGGTGCTGGTGGTGGTGGTGTTGGTACTGGTGCTGGTGGTGGTTGTGGGTGGTGGTGGGTGGTGTTGGTGGTGATTGGTGGTGGTAGTGGTGGTGGTGGTGGTGCGTGGTGGGGGTGGTGGTGGTGGTGCTGGTGCGTGGTGGTGTTGGTACTGGTGCTGGTGCTGGTGGTGGTTGTGGTGGTGGTGGTGGTGGTGGTGGTGGTGGTGGTGGTGGTGGTGGTGGCGGTGCGGCGCGGTGGTGGCGGCGGATGGGCGCGCGAGAAAAAAGGCCCGCGCTGGGGCGAGAACGCCATCCTGAACGACGGAGGCCAAACACCGATCCGAAAATGAGGCCCACGCTGCAGCGGGAGCACGATTCGGAACGATTCGGGAGCAGAAATGAGGCCGGCGCCTCAACGAGAGCAGCATTTTGGGAAAAAATGACGCCGGCGCCTCAGCGAGAGTCGTTTCCCGGGATTTCCCATGGATCCGGTGTGTAATATCCTGGCGAAAGACCCAAACCATAAGCAATGTTGGTAAACGCGTTGTGGGTGCCGCTTTCGGTGGGGCTCCATATGGGCCACGAGCGCTGACTTGGATGGGGGAACCGCATGCGGACTGCGCCACCGGGGGGGCCTTCGGTGAGCTCCCTATGGGGCTACGAAACGCTGCCCTGGGTGGGGGAACCGCATGCGAACACCCCCACTGGGGCCTTCGGTGGAGCTCCCTATGGGGCCACGAAACGCTGCCCTGGGTGGGGGAAGCGCATGCGAACTGCGCCACGGGGGCTTTCGGTGGAGCTCCCCATGGGGCCACGAACGCTGCCCTGGGTGGGGGAACCGCATGCGAACACCCCCACTGGGGCCTTCGGTGGAGCTCCCTATGGGGCTACGAAACGCTGCCCTGGGTGGGGGAACCGCATGCGAACACCCCCACTGGGGCCTTCGGTGGAGCTCCCTATGGGGCCACTAAGCGCTGCCCTGGGTGGGGGAACCGCATGCGAACACCCCCACTGGGGCCTTCGGTGGAGCTCCCTATGGGGCCACGAAACGCTGCCCTGGGTGGGGGAACCGCATGCGAACACCCCCACTGGGGCCTTCGGTGGAGCTCCCTATGGGGCTACGAAACGCTGCCCTGGGTGGGGGAACCGCATGCGAACACCCCCACTGGGGCCTTCGGTGGAGCTCCCTATGGGGCCACGAAACGCTGCCCTGGGTGGGGGAACCGCATGCGAACACCCCCACTGGGGCCTTCGGTGGAGCTCCCTATGGGGCCACGAAACGCTGCCCTGGGTGGGGGAACCGCATGCGAACACCCCCACTGGGGCCTTCGGTGGAGCTCCCTATGGGGCTACGAAACGCTGCCCTGGGTGGGGGAACCGCATGCGAACACCCCCACTGGGGCCTTCGGTGGAGCTCCCTATGGGGCCACGAAACGCTGCCCTGGGTGGGGGAACCGCATGCGAACACCCCCACTGGGGCCTTCGGTGGAGCTCCCTATGGGGCTACGAAACGCTGCCCTGGGTGGGGGAACCGCATGCGAACACCCCCACTGGGGCCTTCGGTGGAGCTCCCTATGGGGCCACGAAACGCTGCCCTGGGTGGGGGAACCGCATGCGAACACCCCCACTGGGGCCTTCGGTGGAGCTCCCTATGGGGCCACGAAACGCTGCCCTGGGTGGGGGAACCGCATGCGAACACCCCCACTGGGGCCTTCGGTGGAGCTCCCTATGGGGCTACGAAACGCTGCCCTGGGTGGGGGAACCGCATGCGAACACCCCCACTGGGGCCTTCGGTGGAGCTCCCTATGGGGCCACGAAGCGCTGCCCTGGGTGGGGGAACCGCATGCGAACACCCCCACTGGGGGCCTTCGGTGGAGCTCCCTATGGGGCCACGAAACGCTGCCCTGGGTGGGGGAACCGCATGCGAACACCCCCACTGGGGCCTTCGGTGGAGCTCCCTATGGGGCCACGAAACGCTGCCCTGGGTGGGGGAACCGCATGCGAACACCCCCACTGGGGCCTTCGGTGGAGCTCCCTATGGGGCTACGAAACGCTGCCCGGGGTGGGGGAACCGCATGCGAACACCCCCACTGGGGCCTTCGGTGGAGCTCCCTATGGGGCCACGAAACGCTACCCTGGGTGGGGGAACCGCATGCGAACACCCCCACTGGGGCCTTCGGTGGAGCTCCCTATGGGGCTACGAAACGCTGCCCTGGGTGGGGGAACCGCATGCGAACACCCCCACTGGGGCCTTCGGTGGAGCTCCCTATGGGGCCACGAAACGCTGCCCTGGGTGGGGGAACCGCATGCGAACACCCCCACTGGGGCCTTCGGTGGAGCTCCCTATGGGGCCACGAAGCGCTGCCCTGGGTGGGGGAAACCGCATGCGAACACCCCCACTGGGGCCTTCGGTGGAGCTCCCTATGGGGCCACGAAACGCTGCCCTGGGTGGGGGAACCGCATGCGAACACCCCCACTGGGGCCTTCGGTGGAGCTCCCTATGGGGCCACGAAACGCTGCCCTGGGTGGGGGAACCGCATGCGAACACCCCCACTGGGGCCTTCGGTGGAGCTCCCTATGGGGCTACGAAACGCGTGAGAGGTGTGCCGAGAGCAGAGGCAAGGAGGGGAGGATGGGGGAGGAGGAGCGAAGGAACGCGGGGCACCGGTCTCTTCAAAACGAGGACCCAACACCACAGGATGGTTGGGAAAAAAACAATACGCGGAGGGTGCGCGGCCATCACCGGACGCCATCAGGGGAAGAGGGAGGAGTATTTTCATATTGAGTAATTGTGGGAGGAGGAGGAGGAGGAGGAGGAGGGGAGGAGAGGAGGGGGAGGAGGAGGAGGAGGAGAGGAGGGAGGAGTGAGGGGGCGGAGGGGGAGGAGGAGGAGGAGGAGAGGAGGAGGAGGAGGTTGGAGGTTGGAGGGAGGAGGGGGAGGAGGAGGACGGCGAGGACGGGGGTGCGGGCGCTGGGGGGGGAAGCCTCCTCCTTCCCTTCCGACCCCTCGTCCTCCTCCTCCTCCTCTTTCTCCTCCTCCTCCTTCTCCTCCTCCTCGTCCTCGGGGGGGACTGACGTGGGGAGGGAACCATCGACCTGAAATCGGCGAACATCGCAGATATATTGTCGCTGGCTCCCGACGGCAATCCCCACGTCCCTCGGCAGAATGGGGCTATCGGGCCCCCTGGCGGCGATCACTGGGCGATTGGGGGTCGATGCGTCCCCCCAAATGCCTACAGAGAAGCCTGAATCAGTGAGTTTGGGGAATTCCATGGTAGTGGAAGTGGCCAGGGCTGGAAAAAACTGACAGGGGCTGGAACAAACCCGAAACAGTTGGGACTCGGTCACCAGGTCTGGAAAACGAAAGGAAACCTACCAGGGTTGGAAAGAGTGCAAGGGCTGGCCCTGGCCACTTTTTCCAGTTTGCCTGTATCCCCCCCGATCGCTGCCCCCGAAAGGGATGTCTGCATCCAAGTGAACCCCGGCGTGTTTGCCTGATGCCTCGGCAGGACGCGAAGCCCCCGAGGCGGCAGCGCGCCCACGCACACGCCCGCAGGGGCAGTGTACAGTAATTCCACGTGGCCGCAGCACCCCGTTGCCCCCGGAGCGGTGCTGGGACGGGACGGGCGCCCGCCGCGCAAGATCTGGGCCGATTGCCGCTCCCGCCCCAGGTGGCGACCTCCGAGCCACCCTCGGCTCTCCCGAAGCGCTGGGGGGCTCGGGGGAGGGTTCGGATTGCGTCACGTGTGCGACTGGCCCGAATCGTTCATCGGCCAGGGTGGGGTTGGGACTTCGCCGCAGGCTCCCCCATTCCTCCCCTCCTGCCCCCCCCTGACAACGACAGGGCGCTCCTTGACCTCCTTGCAGCCCATCGGGCCGTTGCCGCCGCAGATCGCGTTGGTCGGGTTGTTCCAGAAACCGCAGTACGTGCAGTGCCACCGCCCCACCTGGGCGTGGCCAGCTGAGAGGAGCAAAGGACAGCTCCCTCTCGCGCGCGACCGACGTCGCTAACGCCTGAGCAAAGCCTCGCCTTCCTCCTCCTGCTCCTCCTCCTCCTCCTCCTGCTCCTCCTCCTCCTCCTCCTCCTCCTCCTCCTCCTCCTCCTCCTCCCCCTACTCGTCGTTCTCCTCCTCCTCCCTCCTCCTACATCTCCTCCACTTCCTGCAGGTGCTGGTCGTCCTTGTCCTCCTTTCTCATATTTCTGTCCTTCTGGTGCATCCTCATGCTCATGCTCGCTGGCCACCTCCTCCTCCTCCTCCCCCTCCTCCTCCTCCTCCTCTCCTCCTCCTCCTCCTCCTCCTCCTCCTCCTCCTCCTCCTCCTCCTCTGTTGCATTGTTGCACTGTTGTGTCCCAGGTCCACTCTAGGAACAGAAAAAACAAGGACAACAAATATAGAAGACGGGCGACGGGCGACCCGCGAGCGCCGAGTCGGCGCGTCATCGCCAGCGCCGTCGCCGTGGCGGTCGCCCCTTCCCTTCTCCCCTCCCCACGCCGCGCCCCTCCATCCCCACCCCTAAGACAGAGCCCAGGCCTCGCCTGGCCGTCCTCTGCTGGCCGTGGGAGGAAGGAGGAGGGGAGGAAGGAGGAGACCCTAGGCAGCTGGGTCCCGACATTGCACACACGCCACTCAAAACGCACGCACCACGCAGCACGCACCCTAATACTCGAAGGCCTTACAGCTTCGCTGTTTAGGGAGTGCTGGGGCTGCTGGCCTGTGGCAAGCGCGCGCTCTACACACCAAGGCGGTGCGCGGCAAGGTCGCGCGAGCGAGGCCGTCTTCACCTCCCTCTGGCGTGCGAAACCTTCCAGATCCTGTACCCCCCGCTCATGTGCCCTTCCCCCTTCCATGCCCTCCCCTCGAGAACTCGGCAGGCTGAGGAGAACACGCCTGTCATGGCAATCTGCTTCTGGGGAGGGGGGGGGGGAGATCAGAGAGCCTCAACAGGTACAAAAGCCATATGGCATGGCCCCAAACATGCACGCGCACTCGCCAACTCCGCGATTTAGGGGATTGCGGGGCTGGTGGCTAGAAATGCGTCAGATGCTCATCATGCAATGTCATGCTCACTTGCTGCATTCGCCCTTCAGTCGGTCAGGGAAGCATGCGACAGGAGCCCACGAGTCGCGCTGCAATGAAGAGACATGTTGCCCTTGCCGCGCCGGAAGCAACAGATGTAGCAGGTGGCCTTGCGGGAAGGGCGAGAACTCGTGAAAGAGCTTGTGCGTCCGAAATCTCCTTGGCAGCGCATGCAGTCGCGTGAAGGGGATGGACGTACACCATCCTCTCGCAGGCCCGCATCAGCACAAATGCAGCACGTGGCCTTGCGGGAAGGGCAAGAACTCGTGAAAGAGCTTGTGCGTCCGAGAATTCCTTGGCAGCGCATGCAGTCGCGTGAAGGGGATGGACGTACATCATCCTCTCGCAGGCCCGCATCAGCACTGCAAGTGGCCTCTGACTGGGGCAGTTCGAACTGGTCGGCGGTGATGGCGGCAAACTCTGAGTCGGAATCAGTGGCCCCCATGTCGAACAACTCCGGGCGATGGTTCTTCATGGCGGCCTCGTGGTTCCCCACCTCCTCATACTTGCCCTGGCCAGTGCGGTACGGAAGGTTATTGGCCTTGCCGTCGAGGTTGAAGGTTGGCTTACTTGAGCAACCTTTGCCTCTGCCGAAGCTGTTCACCGAAACGGCCCTTGAAAAACGGGCAAGGCAGCCGTCGGAATCACCTGCCCCGACAACTTCTGCCCGTCCCTGTTGCTCTGGATTGAGATTCTCACTCGGTTCCGTGTGCACCTGGGAGTTCGTGGGGCGATCCGGCAGAAAACCGTAGCTTTGGGCCTCCAGTTCCATGGCCTTCCTTACTCGTCATGGTCTCAACGCCGCTCTCCCTGTCGCCCTCGGTCTCGTGGACGCTGCCCTCGGCCATGTTCGGGGATGGACAGACCCCCCTTAAGTAAAACGTGGTTTAGTGAAAACGACCTGAGGCCCAAACCTGGCGGGCGCAAACCTGGAAAATAACGGCCACGGCGCCCTCTCGAAAACCGAAAACGGACAATTCACTAATCGACGTGTCACTGTTGGGGGTTCTGTCCGCCCCCGACATGTCGCGCTCGACAGTCGGCGGGGTCTGGCTGAGAACATCTGCTCGTAGATCGAGGAGGAGAGTCTTGATGTCTAGAAGTTGCCTCTGCAACTGCTGGAAAGCACAGCCCCGCGCCTGGTCCCCGCTCCTGGAGAGTTCGTCAGAGCTCTCGCCCGTGCTGCTTGTGAAGGTGGCGCCGTTCTCCTGGGCCATGGAGTCCGACTTCAAAGGCTTTGTGAGCGCCTCCAGAGTCTCGTCGAACACGTGCGGCTCGGGGTGAGCCTCCAGACGACGGCCAGCGCGGGCCCTGCTCCAGCGTTTGGCCAAGTCTTCTTGGCCCCTCGCTAGGAGGCCCTTGCTGACCTCCTCTGTGGAGGCTTTCCGCTCCAGGCCGAGCGCTCCGCCTGCTTGCCTGAGCGTGCCCTCGAAGTGTCCGAGAGAAGCGAGCCTTCAGTGCCTATCCCCTGTCCGTCCAGCTCCTTGATGAGGTCTGCAGCCTCTCTGGGGCTAATGGCGATGTGCGGCAGATTCCGACTGCGCGGCATCGCGGCTCCAGGTAGGAAATACAGTACCGAGCAAAATAACCCTCTATCCTCGAAGGAGGGACACAACCGTCTAAGGATTGTGCGAGACAAAATCCTTGAGCCCAAATGGCTTGAGCCAAAATGGCTACGGATTCTCTTCCTCTTCCTCCTCCTCCTATGCCTTCTCCTCCTCCTCCATTTCCTGCCGATGCTGGTCGTCCTTGTCCGCCTTTCCCATCAATCTGTTATTATTGGTCATCCTCATGCCCACTCGCCACCTCCTCCTTCTCCTCCTCTTCCTCCTCCTCCATTTCCCGCCGGTGCTTGTCGTCCTTGTCCTCCATTGTCATCCTTCTGTTCTTCTTGTTCGTCCTCATGCTCACTCGCCACCTCCTCCTCCTCCTCCTCCCCCTCGCGCGTTCGCATCGCAACGCTGGCGCAGAAATCCCCCACTTGCCCCCGCAGCTCCCCGGATGGCTCGCGCGGACCCGCGGCCGGCGCGGGAGGAGGGAGCGGGCCCCGGGCGCCGGCTGGGGGCCCCCGACAAGGTGTGATCTTGTCCACGCTTCGGTGGCAACTCATGTCGGGGAGACGTATCATGCAAATGAGCAAGGGCTACACCTTGCGAAATGCTTAAGAAATCATGGGTTAAGAAATTCATAGTCTCAGAACTTGAATAAATACGCAAAATTCATATAAAAACCTTAGGATATACATTGAAACATTAAGAATAGTCGAGACTCTGGCCGAAAACTTGGGTTTTCTTAAGCATCGCCGAAGGTGTACTCGTCCTCGAAGGAAAACAGATCCACAGGCTCCACAATGATGCCAGGCTGATGCGTGTCGGGGAGACGGAAGACTCGGGCACGGGGGACTCGGGTTGGCCTGACGGGGCCATCAGGAAAATGACGAGGCCCGATCTGAAATTTGATGCGAACTCCCGCTGCAAACATCCCACGAGCACCGGACCACCAAATCCAGGATGCGCTCGTCAACAAAAATTCTGCAAAGCCGAGTTCTGGCTTACTCAAGTCTTACGTTTCTCCGATCATGGGAGCCTTCCGTACCGTCTCGTCGGCTCTCGCGAATCGACGCTAATCGACGCTAACTCGACGCGAATCGACGCTGCAAATCGACGCTAATCGACGCCAGCCGACGCTAAGTCGGCGATATCTCATCGCCTCCCAGACGTTAATCGGCACTCGTCGACGCTAAGGGCGGCATCAAGAGGGTACACCAGGCTCCCATGATCTGCAACCGAACTACACGCGTGGCTCCAGAGGCCGTGACCTCGCCCAGGCGGGGCAGTTTGGCGTCCCACGCTTGCGAGCAGGCACCTTGCGAGTAGTGGAACGCGCTCGGTGAGTCAGGTGGCCCCGGGGCCCAACAGTGGACCCCCGAGGCCGAAACACAGGAACAACGCTGCGACTGCAACGCATGTGTCTTCTCCCGAGCGTCCCAATCTGCAAGGCGGGAAGTGGCAAGCAACTAGCCAACAAACATTCAAAACAACAGTCATAGATAGTAGACAAATCGTCCCCAGACTATTTGCTTTGAATCTTTTCAAATATTCCTCCTGTTCAGGGACAGGCCCGACTTCACACCAGCCCCCTCTGGAATGTGAAACAGCCGGTACGCAAGGGTCCAGCCCAGCCCTGCCAGGGCGGCAGGAGAGCCCAGAATCGAATCGACAAGTCGGATCGGCAATCGAGATGAATCGGATCGGCGGAAATCGGCAGCCGAGCCGGGGGAAGTCGAATCGGCGGACATCGGCAGGCCAGTATGTGCCACCAATGAGACATCGGAGCCCAAAGCGGAACCCCACATCGAATCGAATTAGAACCGGAAACCATCGACATCGAATCGAATCGAATGGAAAGACTCGAAAGGAGCCCTGGATGTACGGGTAGCCCTTGGAGGCCTAGGGGGAGGAGGAGGAGCAGGAGGAGGAGGGGGAGGAGGAGGAGGAGGAGGAGGAGGAGGAGGAGGAATCGAACTGCAACAAGTGCTGGATTCTCAGCGGCCGCCGACGGGCAGGCGGCACGCCGTGCCAAAAGAACAGTCTCCGCGGCGACACCGACAGCAATGAAGGGGCCCTGGGACACACAAATAAATACACACAAATAAAAATATCCCCCGTATCTTCACATATTTTCTGGGTTGTTGTCTTCCCCTCCACTTCCCATAGTTTCCCATATTTTCTGGGGAATCGACGATTCATTGTGTCTGTGTGGTTTTTTCCCTCCTGAAGCAAGGCCTGCTCGAGACGGAGAGGCAGCGCTGCCGCTCCGTGTGCCCATGTCGTGCCCATCCCGATCGTCCCGAATTCGGCGTCCAGGATCCATGCTTGCCGGCCCGGGGCCTCAGCGAGTGGACCCCCGAGGCCGACACGAGGGGAAAACGCTGCGGCTGCAAGGAAGAATGACATTGTCGGAGGTCTGGGACAGGAGACCCAGAATCTGATCGACGAGTCGGATCGGCAATCGGGATGAATCGGATCGGCAGAAATCGGCAGCCGAGCCGGGGGAATTCGAATCGGCGGACATCGGCAGGCCAGTATGTGCCACCAATGAGACATCGGAACCCAAATTGGAATCCAAAGTCGAACCGGATCGGAATCGGAAGGCATCGGCATTGAATCGGATCGAATCGGAGGAATCGAAACGAGCCCTGTCTTGCCCGCACTAGAGAACCTCCTGGCACGGCGGCGCCCACCGGGCGAGGAGCAGCGGGAGCCCTTGGGGGAGGAGGGTGAGGAGGAGGAGAAGGAGGAGGAGGATGAGGAGGAGGAATCGAATCGGATCGAATCGGAGGAATCGAAACGAGGCCCTGCTGGGGTCGTGAGCCCTCCGAGGAGCTGAGGGAGATCCTCCTCGCCTCGGCAGTCCGCAGCCCTGCCTGGCGCGGGCTTCACGGGCCCCGCCTGCCTGCTGGGTGGCGGCCAGGATAGCGCTCCTCCTCCCTGCTCCCTCCTCCCTCCCTCATCGCTCCTCCCTCCTCCCTTCCTCCTCCTCCTCGTCATACTCATCATACTCCTCCTCCTCCTCCAACTCCTCCTCCAACTCCTCCTCCTCCTCCTCCTCCTCCTCCTCCTCCTCCTCCTCCTCCTCCACGCGACGTACTGGATGCCCAAGGCGTTTCCAAGGTGCCAGACTGTGACACCAGACTTCTGTCATCAGAGTGAGGTAGCCGAACGGTCGCTCACTGTCCCTGGGCGCGTGATGACGCAAGGTTCTGCGGTTCGGATTGTTGTTGTTGCCGTCGTCGTCGTCGTTGCTGCCATTGCTGTTGTTGTTGGTATTGTTGTTGTTGCTGGTGCTCTTGTCGGTGTTGTCGTTGATGTTGCTGGTGCTTGCTGTTGTTGTTGTTGTTGTTGTTGTTGTTGTTGGTGTTGTTTGCTGTTATTGCCGTTGATGCTATTGTTGTTGTAATTGTTATTGATAAGGGTGTTGTTTGTTGTTGTTTGTTGTCGTCGTCCCCCACGCGAACCCAGCGCGCGACCCGGCCCGCGACCCACCCGCGACCCACCCGCGACCCACCCGCGACCCACCCCGGACTCACCAGCGACCCACCCCGCGACCTACCCGCGACCCACCCGCGACCCACCCTGCGACACGCCTGCGACCCACCCGCGAGCCACCCGCGACCCCCCCGCGACAAACCCACGACCTGGCCCGCGACCCACTCGGGAACCACACGCGACCCGGTAGTCTCCCTCCCCCCTCCATGCGTCCCCTCTTCCCCTGCTTCAGGGGCTGCACCAAGTACACGCGGCAGGTAAGGATGAAGGGGGGTACGATCGAAGATCAAGAGAGCAGGTATCTAGGGCTTGGGATACACGTTCGAATAATACAAAGTATGATTGTTGTTATGATGGTTGGTGCTGTTGGTGTGGTTGTCCTTGTTGATGTGTTTGTTATTGTTGTGGTTGTTGTGGTTGTTGTTGTTGCTGCTGTCATTGCGATGATTGCTCTTATCTGTGTCCCTGTGGCGACTATTGTTCTTTGGTGTCTGTTGTTGTTGTGGTCGTCCCCCCACGATCCGGCCCGGGACCCTCCCGCGACCCACCCGCGACCCATCCCGCGACCCACCAACATTGCTTCGGCGAGAAAAAATCTGCGCCCACGGCGGGCTCGTTGTCAAAGCGGGGGGCCGAACGGCCATTCACTGCCCCTGGGGGCGTGGCTGAAGTGAGGTTCTGCGGCTCGGACTGTTGCTGCCCACTACTGAAATCAGGTTCTGCGGCTCGGATTGCTGAAGCTCGCTACTGAAAAATACTTACCGTGTATCCCCATCTCCAGGGCACGTGGTGATTTTCCAACTGAAGCGCCCTCCACGCGGCTCGCACCCTGTTTTGGATCGGGGAAAATCTTGGGTCTCGGAATTGTTTTGGTGGCCCCCGGCTTCCGCCACCAGCGGCTCCCGCCTGATACGTCCTCCCAAGCCCTGATACGCTCTCGCTGGGGACTTCCTCACAGTTGATTCAGGAACTGCGCGCACGCGTGGGACTTCTTCGCCATTTATTCAGGCGCCGAGCCCTCGACCAGCAGGAACCACGCTCCGGCTGTGCATCTCTTACGATTAACTTGGGAATCGCGCTGTCGCTCGAGACCTGGCCGCCTGCGTCCACCTTCCCAACCGCAAGCTAGGGTCTGCCCACACGATCTGCCCGTCTGGTTCTGCCACGTGTTTCTTGCTCCTAGCCCTCCTCCTGGTAATTCCGTGCTCCATCAGTCTCCCTCCCCCCTCCATGCGTCTCCTCTTCCCCTGCTTCAAGGGCTGCACCAAATACACGCGGCAGGTAAGAAGGGTATACCCCCGAGGTGGTACGATCGAAGACGAAGAGAACGGGTAACAAATATCTCGGGTTTGGGATACACGTGCGAACAAAATACACAATGATTGTTGTTGTTGTGATTGTTATTGTTGCTGTTATTGTTGCGATTGTTGTTCTTTGTTGTTTGTTGTTGTTGTCGTCGTCCCCCAAGGTCCGGCCCGCAACCAAACCGCGATCCACCCCGGACCCACCCGCGACCCACCCGGAACCCTCCCGCGACCCACCCGCGACCCATCCCGCGACCCGCCCGCGACCCACCCGCGACCCACCCGCGACCCACCCACGACCAGACCCGAGAACAACCCGCGACACACCAATATTGCTTTGACGATAAAAATCGGCGCCTGCGGCGGGCTCGTTGCATGGTTATGAACATGTTGCTCCTGCGGCGGGCTTCTTCAACAAAGCCTCGCATATTGCCGACGTTCCAGCCGCCCCCTCACTCTTGTCCGCAATTGCGGGGTGCTACGTATGTGCTCCGAGAGCTGTTTGCGCAGCTGCGCGCTCGAGCCAGTGTACTCAGGGAGAGAGGTCACAGGACGCCCAGACGCCATCCCGAAGAAGATCGCCCTCCGTCAATACCAAAAGCGGCCTCCACGTCCTCTGAGGGTGGAACCAGGGGGAACTGACTGGCTCAGGGGGAACCATCGGGCTGGAATCGGCGATACGTTGCCGATGGATCGGCGATATGCCCTCGTTCGCAAAAGCACATGCTGTTGGACGAGGCGGGCTATGAGGCCGCTATCGGCGCTCAATGGGTGATTGAGGGTCGATGCGTTCCCCCCTGAGTTGATCCTCCTTTAACGTTGCCCCGCATACCCGCCTCCGACGTCCCAAAAAATGTCTGCCACCACGGGGTCATCGTGAAAGCCCGAAGGGAGGATGAGACGAGAGCCACGACAGGGGGGACACGCTCGGGGGGGAAGATGGGAGGTCGATGCATTCCCCCATGATTCTATCCACCCACCCCCCGAGCGTTGCCCCTGATCCTCCCCTCCGCACGACAATCGACTCGCGCGGCCCACCCCCAGATCCGCCATCACGAGGTCATCAGGGAGGTCCATTACACTAGTTTGCACTGTAGGAGAGATAGGGCCCCCACCTGGCCATATGCAGCCAGTCCAGGGGCACGCGATCAAGACATGTATCGTCGGCCGTGGCTAGCTGAGCTTCCTGCGGGGGGGGGGAAGGGGCTCAAGGTAGCTGCCTGCTTGGGGTTTCATGTCAGCCTGGGATGGGGGGGAGGAGGACGACATGGATACGAGAAGGGGGTGTGAGAGGGAGAGTCGGGGGGCGGTGCCAGGGAAAGGGACGCCAGGGGGGTCGGGGGCTCAGGAGCAGCAGGGGGGGGACGGGTGACCACGACAACACGACACGACGCGACACGGGCGGCCGCCTTCGCCTCTGGGTTGCTCCCCGCGTCCGGGGTGCACTTCCCCTTCGGGGTGCTCTTCCCCTCGGGGGCGTTCTTCTCGCTCCAGAACGCCTGGAGCGCGTCCTTGATTGAGAACGCCTGGGGCATCGGGCCTGGCGGGGGGCATCAAACGGCTGGCGAGAGCTGCAGTGCGAGCGAACTGCATGGACCTTCAGCTGTACGCCAGCGTGGCCGTGAATCACGGCAACACGCGCCGCCAGGGGGATCCAGTGCGGATCCGAGCAACCCGCGCGGACCTCCGAGTTGTTATAGTCATGTCATTCTTCGTCCCCCCAGTTGCGTGACGCCCCCCTGGAGCCCGGCGAGGGCCCCCCCCCACAAAACGACGCAGGACCTCTCCCCGCTGGAGGCCTGGGACGTCTGCGCCCTTCGATGGGGCGCTCGGCGGCGCGAACGCGAAGGTCTGGAACGGGCTTGAGCAATCGGGCCAGCAATCAAAGCGCATCGGCTCCGCAGGAAAACAACATCGGCGACCCAGAAGTCGGGAGGAGGAGGATGAGGAGGAGGGGGATTAGGAGGAGGAGGGGGGGAGGAGGAGGAGGAGGAGGAGGAGGAGGAGGAGGAGGAGGAGGAGGAGGAGGAGGAGGAGGAGCAGGAGCAGGAGGAGGATGAGGAGGAGGAGGAGGAGGAGGAGGATAATGAGGATGATGAGGAGGAGGCTAATGAGGAGGAGCCGCCTCGGCAGAACTCTGCGGGCCAGGAGGCCCGCCTCGAGACCTCGAGACCTCGGGCCGGAGTCGGGCGCCGAGTCGGCTCGGCATCGCGTCGAAGGCGCAGCGAAAAGGGAGCCTTGCGGCGGCGACGGCCTCGGCGGCGGTGCCCGGCGGCGCCTCTTGCCGGCGGCGGGGGGCGCGGAGCCCGTCCGCGCGCCCCGAGCGGCGGGGCTCCGCGCGCGAGCAGCGGGCCGCCGCCGCAGGGAGGGGGTGGCCGAGCGCGGCGCCCCTCGGGGCTCAATAGGCGGCTGCGGCGGCCGGCCGCCCTCGTGCCGTGCGCGCCGGGCCGGCTCTCCGCGGAGCACCTCCACGTCGCAGCGCCTCCCCCCCCCCTCTCTCCTCCCCTCGGCCTCGCGCGGTTCGCCCTCGACTTCTCCTCCTTCCTCCTGCACGCCGGACGAGTCGCCTTTCGGTTGACCCGATGAGTTCGCCTCGCGCTGGGTTTGGACTGCCTCTGCCACGCCGCCGACGGCAAAAGCGTGCGTCGTGCGTCATGCGACGGCTCACGGCTCCGTGCAGAAGGGGCGGGAGGCTGCCAGTTCGGCCACGGCTCATGACCTCTTCGCGCGGAGTCTGTTGCCAGAGGCCTCCCAGATGGGTTCGGAGTAGATGGGGTCGAAACATCGCGCCGCATCGCCGATGCATCGCCGATGCATCCGCGACGTCGGCATCGAGGCAATGGGGCCCCACATCGAGCTGCATCGCCGCATCATCGGTGGTGCGGCGCGATCCTCCAACTCCATCTACTCGCACCCCACTTGGGAGGCCTAGACAGATCGGCCGTGATTCATTACCTCTCCGTGTCGACTCCGTTGCGAAGTCCGTTGCGTGCGTCGTTCCCAGTCCGTCCCCCGACGATCGCCGTTCGTCGGTCGCTGTCGTTGTTCGTGGCGTGGCCCGTCATCGTCGTCATCCTCCTCCTCCTCCTCCTCCTCGTTTGTCGCTCGCCGTCCTTCCGTCGTCACCATTCGTGACTCGTTGACCACCGTCCACCTCGGTTGTCGTCGACACGATCGTCGTCCGAGCCGGCTGCGGCCGAGACAGAGGATCGAGAGGCTCTGGAGCGCTCCTGCTGGTCCTCCAGAGCCCTGAGTGAGAGGCTCTGGAGCGTTCCTGCTGATCCTCCCAAGCCCTGAGTGAGAGGCCTTGGAGCGTCCTTGCAGGTCCTCCAGAGCCCTGAGTGAGAGGCTTTGGAGCGCTCCTGCTGGTCCTCCAGAGCCCCGAGTGAGAGGCTTTGGAGCGCTCCTGCTGGTCCTCCAGAGCCCTGAGTGAGAGGCTTTGGAGCGCTCTTGCTGGTCCTCCAGACGCCCCGAGTGAGGTCCCGCGCGTCTTTCTCGGACCAGCGCTGGACCCACCTCCGTGGCGGGCGGAACACGCCAGGGGGGCGCCGCCAGTGGGGCCCAGCGTCGATCCGAGGAGTCTGCGCGGACCTCCGCGTCTTCATGCTTTATGTCATTGTTTGTTCCCCGATCCTATATCCTCTTCCTCCTCCTCCTCCTCCTCCTCCTCTTCCTCCTCCTCCTCCTCCTCTTCCTCCTCCTCTTCCTCCTCCTCCTCTTCCTCCTTCCTCCTCCTCCTCCTACTCCTCTTCCTTTGTTTGTTTGACCTCCTCCTCCTCTTCCTCCCATATCCTCCTTCTGCGGGCAAGGGCAAGCATCCCCCACAGCCCGCGGAGAGGCAGTTGAAGCTGCCTCCACAAGCCTCCAGGGTGATCTGGGCCGGTCCCAGCACCAATCTGTTCTGCACCATTCCTGTTCGCCGAGCGTCCATCCCCCTGACCGGGGAGCAGGTGACGATCCCGACCCGTCCAAAGGAACAACTTTCGGGGATGGACAGACCCCCCTTTAGTACAACGTGGTTTAGTGAAACCGAGCTGAGGCCCAAACTTGGCGGGCGCAAGCCTGGAAAATAACGGCAACGGCGCCCTCTCGAGAACCGAAAACGGACATTTCACTAATCGACGTGTCACTGTTGGGGGTTCTGTCCACCCCCGAAACTTCCTGCATCCAGGGGCCTGGCGAACCCTGCCCCCCCCCGCTCCCCGGCCCGGCAGGGTGTTCGGTGGTAACTCATGGGAGCCTCCTATACCATCTTGCCGGCTCGTGGGAATCGACGCGAATCGACAATTGTTGACGCGAGTCGACGCTACCTCGACGCTAATCGACACTAAGCAACGCTAAATCGGCGCTATCCCATCGACTCCCAAGCGTGCATCTTCGCTAATCGACGCAAAAAACGGAAGTCAGAGGGTATACCAGGCTCACATGACTTGCTACCGAAAAGATGCGAAAATGAATGCGGGGGAACCCGCGCCGCGCCTCCCGCAAGGGCAACCGGAAAAATGCGCCCCGAACGGACCCCTTTAGACCCCTCCAAAGGTCCCTGCTGCACCGCTTCCCGGGACGCTCCCTGCCGTGGCGACGGCTCCGCATCCCCGTAGTATCTCACCCCCCGAAGGCAAAACTGGAACATCAACACGAGGAGAATGGAGGAGGAGGAGGAGGAGGAGGAGGAGGAGGAGGACTCTAGGACTACAGGGCATGCGACAACGAACGTCGAGACTGTGGAATGTGAGCACGGCGGTGTCCTGTGCCAGAGGACCGATTTAGCCCCCGAGGGGTGGGGGTCAGGGCCCAAATCGCGCCCCGCTTAAGCGCCAGACCCTCCCCTGGCGGGCGAAATTCTGCAACGCTCGGTGAAATGGATCAGTGCCGCGTAAATCCTGTGGAGAACGAATACTGCGGGCGTGGATCCTCGAGATTGGCCTCTGTAGCAATCTTGGGCGGGCCCTTCACACATGGGGTGGGGCCCCGAGCATTCCGCGCCAGACTATATGCTGCCCCTTGGCGGTTGGTGTCACGCAGGGCTTACAGAGGTGCCTGGGGTTGGTGGTCGCTGACGCCCCGCATTTACTCCAAAAATGAATATGTATTCACCCCAGCACTGAAAGGGCATGGGTCTCGTTCGAAACCTGCCCTCCCAGAGCCAGCCTTCCGATCAATGGCGCGATTCTTGGGGGAGAGGCAACATGGGTACACTCCGCGGGGGGGAGACCTCGGACAAAAAACTGGATCGGCCCCCGAAAACCTTAACATGTTCTGCGGAAGGAGCGTCGCGCCTAGGCTGCGCCATTCGTGTTGGGAGGCTCGTTTGGCCTGCTCGATACTCGGGATCCGAACGGGGCGGGGGGCCGACGGGCGGGTTTCGGTCCACGGGTCCGCCCCAATGACTCCGCTAAGGCCCTCCTCGCACGCTTTCGGATAAACAAATCTCCGTGTCCGCCACGTCTTTGGTAGGGGCCCTCTAGGCGAATTCAGACCAGCCTATGGACGCCCCTCTGGATGTAAGCCCGTCAGCACACTCATTGCCCACGGCCCACCAAATGTCCTGGGGCGCGCGAGTGTCGTCGGCCTCTCGTTGGGAGGGGGTCCGCTCTAGAATGACAGGGTGGGGCCCGCGAGGTTTGGAGGCTCTTGGTATCCAGAACCACAAATCGGCATGCGCACGACTGGGCGACGCAGCCAAATGCCGACCTTTGTCCCATTCGTGCACGAGCGGAGGGTGATCTGTGACACAACGGAGCGGGCCTTGCGAGCATTCGAGAGCCTGTATGAACGCCATGATCTCAGCCCTGGGGGCCATTTGTCGGGCGCCTCCGAAACTGCGCACGACGCCCGCAATAGGGGCCTACATACCTGCCGGAAGGGCTTCGAGGGCGCGCGCTCCCGAGCCCACTCTCCTGCGACGCGGGTCCGACCAACGTTGCCCCCCAAGCCATCCCCACACAGCGCGAGACACCCGTCAGGGCCTCTGGGGGCTCGGGGGGAAACGCCGAGCTCGGAGCTGCGGGGAGGGAGGTCGAGGTCGAAGGAGGGGGTCGTGTCCTCGACGCTCGGGGGGCCCCGAAGCCAGGACGAGGGCCGCGCCGCGTGGCCTGCGATCGCCCGAGGGTGGGGGCGGGCCGACTTTTCGAAGTCAGCATGGTCAGTGTTGCAGGGACAGGTCCATACTCTGCGGAAGAGTGTCAGGCCCCTGTAGCCGCCTGCGCTCGGCGCTGGCGGGTTCACTGGCCGCCCGAGACGGTCGTGCCCTCAACGCTCGGGATGCCTCGAAGCCAGGGCGAGGGCCGCGCCTCGTGGCCTGCGATCGCCCGGGGGGGAGGCGGGCCGACTTTTCGAAGTCAGCATGGTCAGTGTTGCAAGGACAGGTCCACACTCTGTGGAAGAGTGTCAGGCTCTTGGCCACAGCGCGGGCACTGTGCGGGGGTCCCATAGCCGCCTGCGCTCGGCGCTTGCGGGTTCACTGGCCGCCCGAGACGACCGCCGCGTCGCGGGCCCAGGGGTCGTCGTCGCCGCGCCGCTGGAGCTGCTGCGGCTCGAGCCCTGGTGCAGGGGCGCCTGCCTCCAGAGCTCTTTGTCGATGAAGCGCTCGCACTCGTCCAGCAGCTCGACGTAGTCCGCCGCCGCTTCCGCGAAGCCGCCCTGGGCGCGCCCATCGTGGTCGACGGCCGCCCAGCCAGCATCGATGAGCGTCGCGATCGCGGCTGAGACAAGGCCTTGCACGCGTCTCCAGCGGCGCCCCCCAGCAGCGCGGAGCTTCCTGGCTGCGAGCTGCCAGGCCTTGGCGATCCTGGCGTGGAGCTCAGGGCGGCTAAAGCAGAGGTCTAGCCAAGCCGTCAACTGCTCGCGCGGCGCACTCTTGGCTGAGTCCCCCCTGCCGTAGACCACGGCGGGGGCGCCAGTGAGGCACTTGCCTGGGCCCCGGCCCGCGGCCGCGCGAGATGCCTACCTCCTTGACCTGTGGATATCGCACCGCGGCGGGCCGTGCCCTGGGCTCTCGCTCCGGCCGTCTTGGCCCGTTGTGACCGCCTTGAACCTCGCCATCTTCCTGAGACGCTTGATGGCGCCGGCGGCGCTGGCCCTCTCGGAAGCCCTCTGCGGCCTCTGCCCGCCCCAACGATTGGCGCGCGTGCGGGCCGCGTTGCAGTCCGCCCCGAAGTCGGTGAAGCTGCCCTCCGCCTTTGCTGGGGCTCTTCGCTGCTGGGGCCCCTCGGCTTCGGGGCGCCCGCGACGACCGTGGTATTCGGGGAGACTGCGAGGCCAGCGTCCTGGAAGCAGCCCCCTATTCTCGACCCACTCTCTGCCAGCTTCCCCCCGACGCTGGCCTCCGCGCCCTGCGCCCGCAGCGCGGCGTCCACGAGCGTCCGAAGGCCTGCGGTCGCCTGCTTGGTGAGCTGGGTTCGGTGGGGGATGGGGCCCATGCTGCCGAAGAACTTCGCCAGGTCGAACAGCGCGGCCGCCGCGGCGACGCCGAGCTCCATGGCCGTCTCGTCGAGGGTAGCGCGTGGGGGCGAGGCCTGGATAGCCGACGATCCGCGCGTGGCCGCATCACAGAATTCGCCCAAGGCCTCGCTCAAGTCGCCGGTGACCCCGCTCCTCAGCTTGCTCCATGTCTTCATGGCGAGGGGTAGCTGGCCCAGCGCCCCGTCGCCGCCGCCCCTGTCCTTCGGGCCGATGGCGCCGATGGTGGCCAGCATCTGTCTGGGCCATGCTCCTACCTCCTCTATGTCGTCGAGGGGGTTGGTTGCGCCCTCTGCCCTCGGTGGGCAGCCTCTGGATCTGTACGAGGCCGAGGTCGTCGATGCCCCTGGCCGCGGTGGCGCTGAAAGCTGGGGGCAGGAAGCCCAGCTGGCGGAGCACGAGCGGGGCGATGGGGCTCCTGCCACGCGCGGCCCATGACCATGTGGATGCCATCCTGGAGCGGCTCCTGGGCGACGCTGTTGTCGGCCCAGTGCCGCGCCCACTCGGCCGCCCTGCTGCTCGTGAGCTGGTCGGGGGCCGCCGCTGCGTGCCCCTCCTGTTGCCTCCCTGTGGTCCTTGGCCTGAACGGCTTGTCTTTGTGGGGGCGCTGCGGGGCGCCCTTCCACGTCTCCAGGGCCCAACTGTGGAACGACTCGCTGCACTTGGCGAGCGCCGTGGCGACGGCCCTCGACTGGTAGCACTCCGCGATCAGGATGACGGGGGCCGCGTCGTCGTCCAGGAGGCCTTGGAGCCTCCGCGCGGCGCCCTTGCAGTGGCCGAAGCCGCTCTTCGCCCTTGTCGAAGATCAGGTAGGCTGGGCGTCGCCGGCCTTCCGCATCAGAACGGCGGTCTTGCTGCTGAAGCTCTGCGCCTCGCGGGCCCTCCCCCGCGCGTCGTGGCATCTCGCGCCCCCCTGAGCAGGGTGATCGCGATGTGCCACCACTCGAAGTGCTGGTCGCGCAGATGCGCCCTCGCCAGCGCGGCCGAGGACCTCGCCCACTTGGTAGCGTTGCCGCTGCCCCTGCCAGCGCAGGCCGCACTCTTGTCCTGCTGGACCACGCAGTGCTCCAGCGCGGCCAACTCCCGCGCCGTGGCCCACCGCGAAGCAGCCGTCGACGCGCTCCTGGCCATGGGGGCCCCTCGCAAGGACGGCGCAGTCCTCGTGGTGGCCACTGCCCCGCGCCGCATGCGCTGCCGCTGCCCCGCGCCGCATGCGGGCGCGGCGTTGGGCGGCGCCCTCAGCCCCCCCCCCCTGGCCGCGGCGCCGCTTTGCCGCTTGCGCTGCGCGCCGGGGGGGCGGGGCCCGCTGGGGCAACGACGGGCCCACGACCCCCGCTGGCTGCCGCGCCGAGGGCGGGTCGCACCTGCGGTTCTGCGCCGCGCGTCTGCCGCCCGGACGGGCGGGGCACGCGGTGGGCGGCCACTGCCGGGGGGTCTCTCCCAGGGCCAAGTTCCTCGTCTCTACCGCCGCGCGCGCCTCCGACGACAGCTCGGCTGGGACGTGAAGGCGGCGGTCGGCGCAGGCGCGGCATCCACGGGCTCGTCAACCGCATCGTGGATATCGTCGAAGGCTTCCTGGGGACCTTCCTGCAGCCTCGCTCATCTCTCGTCTTTGGCCTTCTGCAAGGCCTTCTGCAGCCTGCTGTTGGGGTCCGCCATCTTCTAGGGTCCGGGAACTGTCGGGTGCACGCGCGCGAGGTCGAGCTCGCGTTGCCGCCGGTGCTGCACGCCGTCCACTATCGCGAGCTTCATGCCTATGCGGACTTCCCAGGGCACCTTCTCAATCGCCTGCAAACTCATGCTGGCCGTCGTTCCCGTGGTGACAATGGCAGAGTCGATGGCGTTGCCTGCTCCTCTATTTCACGTGGCTGTGCAAATCTCCGCCGTGGGCCTCTCCGCGTTGCGCTTTGTGAACCACTGGGTCTTGTCCCACTCCTGGGGCGCGGCGTCCAGTCGCCCAGGATGACCCGCAGGTTCCCCAGCTGACGGAGGAAGGCTGCGAGCCTGACCAGGGTCTGCTGGCAGGAGCCTCCGAAGCCGAACTGTGCCTGAAGATAAGCGCTGATGACGATGAGGTTGCCCGACTTGAGGTGCCAGCGCGCGGGGCAGAATCCAGCGAAGGGGTCTTGTCCTGATGCACGATGCACCTCTGGCTGCTTCTCTCCAGGCCTCGAACGATGTGGTCTGGATCTGCTGTTCGGCGAGGGTTTACTCTCCTCCCGTCGTTCCTGCTGCTGGTCGGCCAGTGAGCCACGCATACGTCGCCACAGGCTTCCAGCCGTCTCGTGGCAGGTCCGCGCGCGCCTTGCCGACTGCCTCCTAGTTCGCGCGTCCGCCATGCCAACGATGTCGTGCTCGCCCGCCTGCGCCCTCATGACATTTGAATCCTCTGGCCTGGGTGCCCAGTCGGCGGCGCCTGCCAACAAAAAACACGTTGCGTCCTTGGTTGTTGGCCTTGCGGCCTTGTGGTTGGTGGTTGCCTCCTGTCTCAGGGCATCTGCAGCCTGGGCGCATGTTCCAATGGGGGGGTTTGTCTCGTTAGCAAGACTCCCGCGAAGCGCCAGGTTGGCCTGCTGCTGGGGAGGAGTCCCTGCTGCCGCCGTGCTGGGCCGCAGGCACAATAGGAACAGCAGGAGCAGCCGCTGCCTCAGAGCCAAGGCTGGAGGCTGCCTGCGCCGACTTCAAGAGCCACGGGGGGAGGCGGCTGCGGGCAGCGTCGATCGACTCCTGGCTGCTGGCTGCTAGCATGTCGGGGTAAGAGTCGTGCAGGCCTGGGACCTCCTGGCCCTCCGCGGGAAGGGCCTGTATGACCGTGTCGTCGGCGCCCTGGGACGGGTCCGCTGGAGGTGGAGAGTCCACCCTCGCCCTCTTGGGCGGCGGTTCTTGATCTTGTCAATGTTGGCACACACCTCCCTGACCTTGACGTCCTCCGCGGCCATGGCCTGGTAGTGGGCGTCGAGGGTGGCGCGGTGGGCCTCGAGTTCCTTCCTCTCCGCGTCGTCGAATTTGTCGAGGAGGAGGGGGGGACGAGGGGGAGGAGGAGGAGGAGGAGGAGGAGGAAGATGAGGAGGAGGAAGAGGACAAAGAGGAGGACGAGACGGGGGAGGAGGACGGGGCGCGAGGATGAGGAGGCTCCGAAGGCCCCCTGAAGCTCAAGGAATAACCAATAACGCTTTATAACCCCCATCTTCCCCCCCGCGGAAGATTGTGATGCGGAGGTCGGTCGGTAACCGTTATATGACCCCAGGTAATTATTGCAAGCATGTGGGCGAGGATGACTATCATTGCCCACGTTGTCAGACATCTAGAGGGGCGCCCACGACAATTGCGAACGAGGCGACGTCCAGGCAAGCTGGGTAGGAATGCCAGCAAGATGCGGCAACTGCAGATGCGATCGCTGCCGAAAGTAAATGAGAGTGACGAGGGGGACGAGGGGGAGGGGGAGAAGGACTAGTGCAAACACAAGACGCATCAAACATGGACTCCTCGCCCCAAGCTCCCCCTTCATAGGACCCTGCAGAACATAATTCTCATTGCGGGAAGCGTCCCATTGGAAGACAGAAGTTCGATAATCCTCAATCGAGCCGAAACACCATTCCCAAGACTTCAACGCCAAGAATCAACGTGACTGGTGCGTCCTTAAAACCCTGAGTCGTGCCAGAAGGTAATTCCTGAGACAGCAACATAGAGAGCCATCGTGAATGCTACGTCCTCACAGCCTTCAACCGTGCAAGACCACCGTTCCTGGCACTTCAACCAAATGAACCCTCACATTGGTTGCATATTTTTGAAGAACAAGTGTGCGATGCTAGGGCGAGAAACACATGTTGCAAACTAACCACCCTCAATCATTGTAACGACTGCATACGTGTTAAAACATGTGCGCGGTACTGAAACGATAATAACACTTTGAGAACAGCTCGCTCTTCATCAGTGAAACACCTGCACAAATTCAAAACACGTTTGCGTGGCGGTAAATCAAACAACCGCATTTCGATGGTGGCCAGCCCTCCATCCGTGAAGCTGTTGAAACTGTTTGAAACAAGTGTGCGCGACACTGGAGCGGGAACCACACCTCGGAAGCGGCCTGTCCGTCATCCGGGAAGCTGACGAAAACATTTGAAACACATTGTGCGCAACGCTGCAACGAGAACCACTAGTTGAAAACAACCCGTCCTCCATCCATGAAGCTGCTGAACAATCCTAGGACACACGTGCACGGCGCTCAGGCAAGAATCACACTCTGAAAACGGTCCGCCCTCCAAAGTTCAAGCCTCAGGATCACCAACGGTGATGAAAACTAAGGCGAACCCCCCGGCCCGCCCTGCCAACACGTCTGTGGGCGCGACAGGGAGGAGTTATTGATGGGGAGAGGGATGGAGGCTCGTCATCGCTCGGACGTTCGTTCCCTGTGAATTTGACGGCTTTGTGAGTATTTTTCGCGAGGTGAGCAAGAATGCTCCTCGATTGTCCTCGCCGAAGAAAAACGCACGTCTGGGGGCGCCCCGAGGAGCGTGAGCTTTCCCTCCTGGGGTCGTGGACTTTGGAGAAGGAGAAGCAGGGAGAGTAGATGACCAGGAAGCTGAGGAGGAGAAGGAACAGGAAGAATAAGGAGGAGAAGGATCAGGAGGAGGAGGAGGAGAAGGAGGAGAAGGAGGGGAAGGAGGAGAAGGAGGTGGATGAGGAGGAGGAGGAGTTTTTTCCAGTAGTTTCTCTTCTCACGTAGTGAGGTAGGAGGAGGAGGGGAGGAGGAGGAGGAGGAGGAGGAGGAGGAGGAGGAGGAGGAGGAGGAGAGGAGGAGGAGGAGAGGAGGAGGAGGAGTGGAAGGAGGAGGAGGAGAGGGAGGAAGTGGAGGAGGAGGAGGAGCGATCCACAAACGCCCTGACCACATCGTGTCCCCCCCCCGCCTCCCCGGATCGGGGCGCCGAGAGGGGCGTCGACGTGGGTGCCGGCGAGGAGGGGCGAGGAGGAGAGGGGGGGGAGGGAGGAGGGGAGGAGGGATGAGGAACCAGGAGGGGGGAGAGGAGGGGGGAGGAGGGGAGGAGGGGGGAGGAGGAAGGATGAGGAACGAGGAGGGAGGAGAGGAGGGGGGAGGAGGCAAGCTAGGTGCGCTCGCGCCACATCTGACATTCTGGCCCTTTCTCCCCTTCCCCCCCATTGAGAGGATGTGTTCTCGATCCGCGGACGCGTGTCATAGCTGACCTGGAACTCCTAAACATACCCCATCGTGTGATGCGAAATCGGACAGGGGTGAGCTGCGTACATAGGAGGAGGAGGAGGAGGAGGAAGAGGAGGAGGTGGCGAGTGAGCACGAATATTGACAGGAATAACATAATGACGACAAGAGGAAAACACGGACCACGAGCACCGGCATGAAATGGAGTGGAAGGAGTTGGAGGAGCACGAGGGCCAGGGGAAGGCGGGAGGGAAAATGAGCGGGGCGACAGCGATGAAAGAGGACTCGAGGCCAGAAAAGCGGCCCGGGCTGGCGAGATCACCATTCTGAACGACGGGAGCACAGCGCCGATCCGAACATGCGACCAACACTTTAGCGGGAACACGATTGAAGGACTGGAGCACGATCGGACTGCACACACATACACACAAACAACAACACATCACCTTTCGAATTCCTCTTCAATAGGCGGTTTTCGAATTCCTGTTCAATAGGCGGTATAGCTCCCGCCCGTAGTTGTTGGGAGAGGGGAGAGTAGCATTCATATCATGTAGCTGCAGAGGAGGAAGGGTGAGATGAGTAGTAATGATTCATATTCTGTAAAGAGGAGGAAAGGGGTAGGAGGAGGAGGAGGAGGAGGAGGAGGAAGAGGAGGACGAGGAGGAGGAGTGAGGAGGGAGGAGGGGGGAGGAGGGAGAGGAGGTGGGGAGGAGAGAGAAGGAATGAGGAGGGAGGAGAGAGAAGGAATGAGGGGAGAAGGAGGAGGGGAGAGAGAGGAGGAGGAGGAGGAGGAGGAGGAGGAGAGGAGAGGAGGAGAGGAGGAGGAGAAGGAATGAGGAGGGAAGACAAGGCATGATGGGAGGGGAGGCGGCGGCCCTGCTCTCCGCCCCAGGGAGGACGGCAGGTGAAAGTGAAGGCGGAGGAAGAGGAGGAGGAGGAGGAGGAGGAGGAGGAGGAGGAGGAGGAGGACGACGACAATTAGGAGGAAGAGAAGGAGGAGAGAGGAGGAGGAGGAGGAGGAGAGGAGGAGGATCAGGAGGAGGTGGAGGGGGACGACGAGGAGGGATGCGGATCGAACGACGAGGAGGATGGAAACGACGAGGAGGGGGGTCGAGGAGGGAGGGGGAGGAGGATGAGCGGGGGGAAGGATGCGAGTCAGGAGGAGGAGGCCGCCCCCACTTTCCTGTCATAGAGAGGTAGTGGGCGGTGGCGGTCGTGCTCGGCGGCGCCCCGCTGCCCCATTTCGGGGCCCGCCGGCGCGCCCGCGGGGCCCTCACTCGAATGCCTGGCCGATCACCTGGGTGTCTGGCGGGGAGGAGGAGGGGGGCAGGGCGGGCTGGGAAGGCTGGCTGGATACGGCATTTGAGGTGGTCTTCGTGCCAACCGGATGACCAACAGATGATCGGATGACTCGCAAGGCCCGCGAGACAGGGCCACGGACGCAACTCTCATTCCGACCGCCCTCTCGAAGCGAGGAGGGCCGGGGAAGGGCGGACGACGACTGCAGCAGAAGGCTCTGCGAGGCCGAGGCTACGCAGGACTGGTGCACAGGCAGGAAGACGACGGAACGGAGGGAGGGGTGGAGGCACGGGGGGGGTAGAGAGGCCTGGCGGGCGGAGGCGAGGGGAGACAGGTGCAGAGCGAGAGGGAGCGAAGGACGGGGGAGTCGGAGGGAGGGGGCTGCAGGAGCCGAGGGCGGCGAGGTTGCGCGGAGGGCGGGCGAGCGCAATCCTGTGGAGCTCCGCGCGAGCAGTGGCACAAACACGAAGACTCTGAAGGGGCCCTGGGACACACAAATAAATACACACAAATAAAAAGATTCCCCATATTTTCCCATATTTTCTGGGTTTTTGTCTTCCCCCCCCAACTTCCCATATTTTCCCATATTTTCTGGGGAATCGAGGATTAATTGTGTCTGTGTGTTTCTTTCCCTCCTGAGACTCGGAGGTCCGCGCGGATTTCTCGCATCGGCGCTGGACCGCCCTGGCGTCGCCGCCTGCGCCGCCCCTGGCGCGCTCCGCGCGCCAGGGAGGAGGGGCCCAGCGCCGATCCGAGGAATCCGCGCGCACCTCCGACAATTTGCGCCTGCGTCATTTGTTTGTTCCCCCAGTGGCGGGCGCGCGACGGCAGGAGAGCGCAGAGTCGAAGCGATAAGTCGGATCGGCGATCGAGATGGATCGGATCGGCGGAAATCAGCAGCCGAGTCGGGAAGAGTCGGATCGGCAGAAATCGGCCAGTATGCCTCCAATAAGACCTCGGAACCCCCATCGGAAATCCCGAGTCGAACCGACCCGTAACCGGAAACCATCGAAGTCGAACCGAGTCGAATCGGAGGCATCGAAGCGAGCCCTGCGCGACGGCGCCCTCCGGGCACGTGGATGAAGGGGCCCAAGGACACACTTCCCATATTTTCTGGGTTTTTGTCTTGCCCCCCACTTCCTAGATTTTCCCATATTTTCTGGGGAATCGACGATTAATTGTGTCTGTGTGTTTCTTTCCCTCCTGAGTGGAGCGCAGCGCCGCGCGCCGCCGGTGCCGAGGGGGGGCCCCGCAAGGAGCTCGGCGCGGCAGGCTGGCCGAGCCCGCCTCTCGCCGCGCGCGCGGCGGCCTCCCCCGACAAGCCACGAGGGGCCCCAGAGTCTGACTACCTACCAGACCACCCCAACCCAACCCGAAGACCCGAATTTCGGGTTGGGGGGGTACGGGCTTCATACATGATGTTTCAATGTTCCCCGATCCCCCCCACTGGAAATGGAGGGCAAATCGGGGCCTTCGGGTTGGGTTGGGGTGGTTTGGTGGGCGGTGAGAGTCCAGTCGATGTACGTCGGACAGGCGATCCGCCTCCCAGACACGATCGCGTCGTAAACAAAAATCAGGGCGGGAAGTTTCTGGCCATCTTCGGCCCGGGGGGGGGGCCCTCGCCGGGCCTCGGGAGCGTCAAATAACGACTCGCGGCGACAAGCCGGGTCCCGGGAAGAGGGTCGGGACTTCCAGGGACGCCGTGCTGATAAAATCGGAGCGTCGCATGTCTGGGTACGGGTCGGATCGGCGGAACTCGACGGCCAAGCAAGGGGAAGTGGACTCGGCGGAGAGTAACTTCAAAGATCCCGACTGAGAGAAATCGGACCTCAGATCGGAATCCGAAATCGGCTCGAATCGAAATCGAAATCGAACCGCATCGAGTCGGAGTCAAAATCAGCCCTGTAAGTCCCTGTGCACCGCACGACCCGTCACCTGAAACGCCCTCGGAGAACGACTCAAGTCCCGAAACCGATCGGTCACCTCGAGGCCCACTGGCTCACCACCCGGTGTGGTCATGCCACACCGTTTGGGGGGCCCCGCATAGTCTGCCGCACCTCCCCTGGCTCCCGGTCGGGGTGGAGGGGGGGGTCAAAACGCGCGACGGCAGCTGCAGCAGAGCCGCCCGAAGCTCGAGACTCGAGGGTGGAGGAGGGATGAGGGACATGAGGAGGAGGAGGAGGAGGAGGAGGAGGAGGAGGAAGGAGGAGTGAGGGGAGGAGAAGGAGGCGGAGGAAGAGGAAAAAGAAAAGGAGGAGGAGGAGGACACGGCTCGAGCTTGCACCATCGGCGACGTTTCGACCGCCAAATCGTTCCACATCGGCCGATTCTGGGCCTATGGCGGCGTCCAACCTTGAACGTCCGCGGCGGGGACGCTGCCGCGTCGACACGACACGAACGATCGTACGACGAAGAGGAAGAGACCGAGAAGGACGGGTAGAAGGCGGAGGAAGGATCAGCGAGAGATTCGCAGAACGACCCCTAAGCAGGAGTCCGAACGCCCTTTCTCCTCCTCCCCATTTTGCTCCCCCTGCTCCTCCCTCTCCTCCTCATTGCCCTCGTCCACCCCCGAAAAAAACTCGGTACACACCAGAACCTGTCCAGGTGTGCTTACTGACGAGGACTTTGAAGCGGATCTAGCCGTGGCCACGATGGCACCTCCGGGGGCCTAATAATCCCCAAGAACGGCGACAAGCACGGATTCCCGACGACAGCAACAACGACGACGGCGGGGGCGACGACAACCACGGCGACGACGGTGCGGGCTGCGACCTCAACAACGACGACGACGACGATGGCGGCGGCGACGGCAATGACGACGACCACGACGACGACCGCGACGACGACACGACGACGACACGACGACGACGATGGCGGTGGTGGAGCTAAACGCCCAAAAAGTCATGATTTTGCCATAACGCGGGCATGCGAAGGTGTAGACCACTTCCCGAGGACTTGGTTTCGGCCGGGCGAGGGCCCCGAGAACTAGAACACCACGCAACAACTGCCCGTGGCGTTCTGCTCCCCACGACTCGAGAGGGTCTTTTGCGGGGCGACAGCGACGACGACCACGACGACAACGACGACGCCGACGATGACGGCGACGGCGACGACGACAGACGACGACGTCGACGACGAGGTTCACGACGACGACGACGATGACGAGAGCGACGACGACGACGGCGGCGGCGACGACACGACGTCGGCGGCGGCGGCGACGACCCGGCCCGTGGCCTCAATCGTGGCGGCCTGCGGCTTGCCATCCTGCGCCCGGGTAAGGCCGAAGATCACCTTGGAGCGGGACGGAGGAACAGGGAAAGGCGACACTGCGAGGAGCGAGGGAGGTCTCCGTGGTGGTGAGGCCCCTCCTCTCGCTCGAGGCATCCCCAGCCTCCTGCTCGGGGAGGCATCGTGGGCCTCCTCACTGGAACCGGCCCCCCAGGTGGTGCTCGTGTCGCTTCTCGCCCCTCCCAGGACGCGGGGGGGGAGGTGGGCACGTGTGGAAGGGGGGCTAGGCAGTGTGAGGAGACTTCTCCTCCAACTCCTCCTCCTCCTCCTTCTTCTCCTCCTCCTCCTCCTCCTCCTCCAAATCCTCCTCCAACTCCTCCTCCTCCTCTTCCTCATCATCATCATCATCAGCATCATCCTCATCCTCATCCTCATCCTCATCCTCATCCTCATCCTCTCATCACCATCATCATATTTTTCATCATCATCATCATCAGTGTCGTCATTATCATGACCATCAACATCATGACTACCATTCTCATCAACATCACCACCATCACCACCATCACCACCATCTCGTCCCCATCATCATCACAATCTTCATTATCATCAACATCGTCATCATCATCAGCAACATAATCATCATCATCATCATCATCATCATCATCAGCAGCATCATCAGCAACATCATCATCATCATCATCAACATCATCATCAGCATCATCACCATCAGCAAATCATCATCATCCTCACCAGCATCATCAACATCACCATCACCATCACCTGCAACCTCACCCTCACCACCATAATCACCATCACAATCGTTATCTTCATCAACATCATCACAATCATCTTCATCATCTTTCTCATCATTTGTATCATCACGGCTTCCCCAAGCCTGGAGACACGCGGTGCCACACGTGACGGCCTCCCCTGCCCCCTGGAACAGTCGCCACCCAGAATCCTGGGCTGGCACGATGGCGGGACTTGCCGCAGGAAGCTGGATATCACCTGCCTCGGGATGACGGAGAAGGTGGGCTCGTGTCGATGGGGGGCTAGGGTGGGACCTCGGAGGCCCTGGACACGACATGGTTTTGTTTACCGATTCCGGTTTGCAATTCGTTGGCCGCGTCTAGCGCCGTTTGCTCCCAGTTCGGTCGCAGATGTGTTCCGGTTCAAGTTCTGGTCCAATTCTGAAGCCGCTGTTGCCTCGCTTCCCAGAACAATGTTTGTACCTCTTCAACGTTCCAGAAGCAGGTTTCCCCAAGGTTTCCTACGACGGGATTGTTGCTAATACTGTGACGATCCTTCTTCTCCTCATCTCCTGTCGTCCTCTTCTCTCTACTCCGTTACGTCGTCATCACACCTAGTTCGCTCTCACTAAGACTCGCTCAGATTGAAACTCATTCTTACGTACCCGCACGCACTAAAACTCAGACCAACTCGTGCGAATGCGTACTCACACACAGACTAAAGTTCCACTCAGGCTTGCTCACACTCAGACCCACTAGTACTCAGACTCACAAACACACAAACTACGACGCGCTCCCACACATATAATTCACACAGAACCACTCGCAGATTGTGAGGATGTTTCAGGCGAGGCGCGGGTTCCAGCACACCAAGGGGGAGCCGCCAAAGTTGTTTGCACGGCCCCGTTGGCGCCCAGATTGTGGGGACGTCTCAGGCGGTTTGCCTGTTCGGGCCCCCCGAACTCCTCTGCTTTCAGAGCAGATTGAAGGATTTCTGTCGAGGCGCTGGTTTCGGCACCAAAAGAGGGAGCCGCCAGGGTTGTTTGCACGGCCCCGCTCGCGCCCAGATCGTGAATCTGTGTCACAGAGCTGGCCAGAGTAGCGATCCCGCGCCTGCTGTGGCCCGACACCACGTTCGCAAGTATTCCTGGAGCTTGCTCGGCAGAGCAACCCGAATCTTGCCAGTGCCAATGGCTTCGCTTGCACGTGCGGATCTGCGTTACCAGCCCGACGCCAAGTGCGATCAGCGTAGCGTTTTCTGGAGGCCCCCCTGGCGCGTGTCCCCGACATGCGCGCCGCCCTCCGCCCAGCACGGTCCGATGCCAAATGCGGACGGTCGCCTCCAGCCTCCGTAGCAGTCGCATCTGCCTGTAAGCAGCCAACTCCGCAAATGGGGCCTGGCGTAGAAAGATATCGGAAGTCTCCAAGCCCGCTCCGGACGAGGTGGGAAACAGGAAAAGTTCCCACTCACCGCCTCTTCGCGAGTTGCCGTTGTCCTCGCCGTTGTCGTCGTCGTCGTCGCCGTCTCTCATTAGAGGCTTCCTAGTTGGGGTCGGAGCAGATGAGGTCTGACAATCGCGCCGCATCGCCGATACATCGGCTTTCACAGTGGGAACGCCTAGCGCGCCATTTTGGCTGCGCTCGGCTCTCCTCGGTGGCTGACCTCTCAGACTCCTTGGATGTGCCGTTGCATGTTCACCTCAGGGGCTGCCCGGCAGACTCCCTGGATTTGCACGCCTTGGCTCCTCAGACGCCCTGGGTTGCCGCTGCCCGCCGCCTGACCGCGGCCCCGCGCGCGCCCGCCCCCTCGTCGCGGCCGCAGCCCGACCGTGACCGCCTGCCGCTGGCGCTTCCGCCTGCGGCCGTAAAAAAAAAGAAGATACATCGGCGATGCATCAGCGATGGATCGGCGATGCACCGGCGATGCATCGCCAACGTCGGCGATGCATCGGCGACGTCGACGTGAAGCAAATCGGGTTCCACATCGAGCCGCATCGTCGATGCATCATAGGCGATGCGGCGCGATCCTCCGACCCAGTCTACTCCGACCCCATCTAGGAGGCCCAGACTCGTCGTACCTGCTGACGCCGTCGTCGCCCCGCCAATCGTTCACTCGGGCTCGCTCTCAAACTGAGACACTCAAACCGGAAGTGCCAGAAAATGAGATACACATATGGGGATATCCGCGTCGAGTCATTTGAAAACGGCAAAACACGGCTGTGCCATTTCCAGACCCGGTGAGGAGAGTTCACTCTGAAACCGATTGCTGACAAAATAGTTTCACGCACACACACACACACACACCCACATACGCACACAGTTTAACGCAAACGGGATGTCAGGATTGACGCAACGCGTACCGCCATCCTCAACCATTTACCTAAGAGGATCCACTGGGCCGCGCTACCAGCACACTGCTAAGTAACTGTGCACCAGTGCTGAAGCTAGGAAGAAGTCATGTGATGCGGGGACACGCGAGGCGCGCTCGTGCCACACGCATATTAAATATCTTACCCCTCCACCCATCCCTGCACATTGCGCTGAATTCAGTGTGTCCACCGACTGGAATGTCCTAGAGCACATTGATCTCCACAGTGACCCAGTCTTGTGATGCGCAATCAGAAGCTGGCTTTGAGCATTAGAGGGGGAGGAGAAGGAAGAGGACGAGTAGGACGATGAGGAGGAGGAGGCCGTGGCGGATACACAGGACGATGAGGAATGAGGAGGAGAACGATCAGCAGGTGCGGGAGAAGCAGACAAACGTCCGAAAAAGGAACCCAAGATGAGATTTCTGGCTCCGACGGGGGTGCAAATTCAGGTCGTTCCCTTGTTTGTTCGATCTCCTCTAAGATGACTCCAGGGAGACCTCCAAGGCCCCCGTAAGAAAGCTCCAGCAGAGCCCCCAAAGCGCCGCGGATGTTCCAAGAAGTTCCTGAAGGTCGCTCCAAGATGGTTCCGAGAGGTCCAGGAGGCTCCCTGAGGTCTCTAGCTCATGTTCGTGATTGCCGACCTTTACCATACGCTTGGATACGTCCCTCCTCTCGACGCGTCCCCAGGGTATCGCTCCTGGACGGAAACTGTGGGGATAAAGGTCTCGAGGCCCCCTATAGTGGATGCCTCAATATTTGCACGGCGACCTGATGAAGGACTGGGGTCCAACCCAATCCGCCGACCCTGTCGGCGTGTGTGAGGGGCTTTTCCGTTGGAGTCGGGCTTTTCCGTTGGAGTCGTCGTCTACGTCCTCTTCTGTTCACTTTGCCTGGGCCCTGTTCCTCACGCGCGCCGTCCCAAGCAACTTTGCACAACATCGTGGTGGAATCGAAGGGAAAGCCCTTCCATTTGATCCCTTCCCCTCGCCGGGCGGGGGCGGTGGTCTCAGGGGGTGCATGCCGGTGGGGTCCGGGGTGGGGGGGGGTCATGGGGGTCTCCCAGAGGGGGTCATGGAGGAGGAGGAGGAGGAGGAGGAGGAGGAGGAGGAGGAGGAGGAGGAGGAGGAGGAGGAGGAGGAGGAGGGGAGGAGGAGGAGGAGGAGGGGGCCGAAACCTGGGTCCCGGCCCCGGAGCCTCGGCCCTGGCCCCCTGCCCCCGGCCCCGGCTGGCCTCGGCCCCGGCCCCCGCCCTGGCCCTGGTCCCAGCCGCGGCCCCAGCCGAAGCCCCAACAGAGCCCAAAAGGCCCCCAAGAAAGCCCCATAAGAAAGGCACCAGACTGTCAACGTCGTCGTCGTCGTCGCCGCTTCCGCCGCCGCCGTCGTCGCCGTCCCCCTTCAGGGTCAGCGGCACCGGCCGCTAGGCCTTGCCAGTGGGGGGGAACTAACTACACGTTTCGGTCCCACCCGCCGCGCAACAGCGACGACGACAGCCATAACTGCTGTGATTATGATGCGTTTTAGCGTAATGGCAAAAAGAAGGGGGCCCTAGAGGTCAAACGGCGGCGAGTGGCGGCGAGTGGTGCGTATACACACGTCACGCATATCTCACACCGGTGAAACTTTATCTCGAACTAGCTGGCACACCGCGCAGTACCGCTGAGTCCAAATTTCCGGTCTTAAACTCCCTAAATGAATACTCAATCGCTTATCTTCTATCTTGCCAATAGCTGGGGCTATAAGATGTGCTCCAAGGCTCCTACAATCCGTCATCCATGAAATGTCTCATGGGCATGGCTGATTTGTCTGCCCAATTGGTTAGCAACTTCTTTCCGGCACCAAGCATCCCGCGAGCATCTGCGATGGCGGCACGGATGCGCACACCGGATTCTACACCCCATAAACAAGCCCGAATATCTGCTGCAGTAAAGATTTACATACTCGTTTGTTGAATTTACTAAATATACATATAGAGTGAACATGATCACTGCTCCCTTCGATGAACACAGGCCCTGCGAGTCCATTGAACCTAGCCCTCTGTGATCTGAGAGGCTCGATTCTACCCTTGGCTATATTCTCTTCTCCTGCCCAGCTGGCGTCAGTAACGGTAGGAAGTACCATATCATAATCCCACTTAACAGCTCCACTCTTATATACTAATCCGCAATCGGCGGACTGAGTTGCTTCTTCTGATGCACGATTGGCTTCCTTGAGATGAAGTACCTTAGCGTGGCACACTGCTGTCTGCAGTCTGTTCGCACGATACACTAACTCAGGTTTACACTGACGCGTAACCTACGACAAAGCACCTACGACCGATCTGAGCTATGCTGTCTCACCCTCATTGCATTTTCTCGTGACGGGACTGTCCCTAGGATAGGATGCATCTTCGATATTATCAATATTATCCCTGGCCGCAATACCCACCGTGAAATCTTCATCTTGAACAACTTCCAGGCCACAACTCTGTGTTCCCGGGTTCCTGGACAATGGTTCTGGTCCGATATCAGTGGGTTCTGGGTTCCCGGGTGTATCGAAAGCCATCCACCGATGGGGGTTTCTCTCTGGTGTAATGCTACACCTGCTTTCCTGCAACTCCCTCCCACAACGAAGCACAAAACAGAGCCGAGGTCCAGCAAAACTGCGCTCAGGTCCGGCCCTGGCGGGTGCTGATGGGGGATGGCCCCAATGGGGGGTGGAGAACAAGGGCACAAAGGGGCCCTTTGGGGCCCCTGTTTGGGCACCCGCTGGCTCCCAGCAAGAGGCCCTGAAGGGCCCTCGTTTGGGCAGTGTTCTTCACCTCCCAGAGGAGGAGGAGGAGGAGGAGGAGGAGGAGGAGGAGGAGGAGGAGGAGGAGCAGGAGGCATGTCGGGTCACCTCCCATTCGCACCCGCCCGATGACCAGGGACCGACCGTCACGGCATTCCTGTGAGCCTACCACGACACGTTCGTCAAACGAAAAAAATTGCTTTCACAACGCAACCAATGTTCGCAGAACAGAGAACGGATGCATTAAAACAGGCAGTCTCGGCCAGAAACGTTCTCATAACTTGTCGCGCAACCCTGATATCCGTTTCTGAGGACGTTCTTCGATGGGCCTATGACCAGGTCGGGGAAGTCCTCCTACAGGCGGACTTTGGAAGGAACATGACAAAGAGTCAACAGAGATTCAAACGTGGACATGATGGTAAAACAATTGTCCCCAGACTATTTTTCTTACACCCTGCGAAATGCTTAAGAAATCATGGGTTAAGAAATTCATAGTCTCAGAACTTGAATAAAAACCCAACATCTCTATTAAGTTCTTAGGGTGTACGTTGAAACATCAAGAATAATCGAGACTCTGGCCGAAAACTTGGGTTTTCTTAAGCATCGCCTAAGGTGTAATCATCTTTGAACTCTCCTCCTGTGGAGGGACGTGCCCGACTTGGGCCTATAGGCGACCCGGGACGCCCCCGCCACTGCTTGACCGAGGGCCTCCGACGACCGCCGCCCGGGCGCGGCGGAGCGCCTCCTGGCCGGCCAGCTCCTGGGAGCCCTGGTGCTCCTGCGGGAGGGTGGCCTTCCGGAACCAGACGTCGCCCTCCACCTCCGCGGGAGGATCGGGGATGGACAGACCTCCCTCTAGTAAAACGTGGTTTGGTGGAAACGACCTCGGGCCGAAACCTGGCGTGCGCAGGCCTGGAGAATGACGGCCACGGCGCCCTCTCGGGAACCGAGAACGGACAATTCACCAATCGAAGTGTGACACTGTTAGGGGTTCTGTCCACCCCCGAGAGGAGGGGGGGGAGGAGGGGAAGGGGGCGGGGGGCGGAGAGAGGGGGGGGGGCGAGGGAGGTCGTCGCCGTCGTCGTCGCCGCCGCCGCCGTCGTCGTCGACGCCTCCCTCCTCCTGCTTCCTGCGTCGGCCTTTTCCCCCATGCGTCCACCGCTGCCTCTTCCTCATCCGATGGCGCCGGGAACGATGGTGTCCGCTCGGGGGCCGCAGGTCCGCTGTGGCACCCGTTGGCAGATCGAGAACAATGGGAGCGGTCGGACAAATTGGCGGGTGAACTAGGATTCCATATGTGACGATAGGAAGGCACCAGCTATACACCAACACCGATCCTGGGCCAGGATCGGTGTTGGTGTATAGTTGGTGCCCTCCGAGACGAGAGCGAGCCTAGCACGTCCTCCTCCTCAGCCCTCTACGGTTCCTTGTTTTCGTCCGCGTGGTCCTCCTCCTCTTACTACCACCACCACCGCTACTGGACTGCGGCGCGCCCTCCCCCCACGTTGCGGGGCTTTGCGGCGGTAGATGGAATGGGTCGACCCCCGTTGTTCCCACAATTCTGGAGGGACAGCGGAAGTCATAACAATAAAATTCCTGATGTCCGATCGGATTCCTTGGGTCGGCATTGGCCCCCCAAAAAAAAACACACACACACACACACACACCCACCCACCCACCCACCCACCCACCCACCCACCACGCACGCACGCACGCACGCACGCACGCACGCACGCACACCCACGCGCGCGCTCACAAACACAGACATACACACAAACACAAACTCACACCCACACATACACACACCCACACCCACACACTCACACCCACGCGCAAGCACACACACACACACACACGCACGCACACACACACACACTCACACACACACACGCACCAAGCACGCACACACGCACGCACACACACACACACACACACTCACACATGAACGGCCAAGCACACACACACACACACGCACACACATACACACACACACGCATGTGTATGTGTGTATACATACATATATATACAATTACATGCAAGTGTGCATATACACAGTGGTACATACATCTGTATATCTATGTATATATACACACGTATATGTATGTATATATGTATATGTATGTATGTGCAGCGCGAAGAACGCGCCCTGGGCGAGCTTCGAAGCGCAGAACCAATCCATCTGCACGGGTATCCAACAGCGCCTGTGCACGCAGCTGTATAGGGACCGCCCAGGAATACGTACTTTGCACTGCGCGTCCCAAGTAAAAAAAAGCATTGTTTCTCTTTCTCGTTCCCAAAAACATGAAAAAAAAACAATTTCCCTCCTTCCGCCCTTGTTCCATTTCCCACCCCTTCTTGCCACCCCTTGCTCGGAGCGAAAACAAGGTGATGAAACGTGGGGCTTCTAAGAATGATGTGATGATACCTGCGGTTCCACGCTGTGCTCCTTCTACCAGGAGACCAACATACTAGTATAATCGTGAGCCAATTCGGCGACCGTGCGCGGCACACCTTCCAGGCGACGTTTGAAACCAGAACGACCCGACCCTCGCTCCATTCTTTCGTCCGTGGTGGAACAACGAAATACCGATACAACTACTCCATGGGCCTCTCCCAGATTGCAGTATGACTTCAATTTTGACGAAATCAACCCGCGGCGACGAATGCCTCCCAAGAGGCCTAATAAAAAAAACAAAGGAAAGGATAGAGCAACGGTCCCTTTTTTTGCGGTGAGTACTTCTAGCGAAAGTCTGGACTCGTCGTGGCCTGAGGCTTGGCGAGTTTAAAGGCATGCCTTAAAACTTACACTCTCCCCAAGGGTTGGGGGGGCGGGAGACCGAGAGACAGCTTGAGAGGAATGACGGCAGGGGTGTGAGCGACAATGGTCGAAAACGATAACATCACATGCGAGGTCCCTCTGCTCAACCCGTTCTGAAACCTCCAGAGCAGCGGCCCCTTTTTTTTGCGGTCAGTGATTCTAGCGAAACTCTGGATTCGTCGTGGCCTGTGGCTCTGCGAGCTTAAAGGCATGCCTTAAAACTCACACTCTCCCCCGAATCATCCCAACAAAAATCCATGTAGGATGTTCTCTAGGGTAAGGTGGGAGTGAAGCGCCCTGTTCTCTACTAGGATTGCTAGAAGTCTTGAGACCATTGCATGTGCAAGCTGAGGGGGATATTCGGAAGCGATGCGAGTGCGACGGAGGCCTCCTGGCCCCGCGCCGCTGAGCTGCCAATGAGGCTGCTGCGCCCTGGAAAGAGTACAGCCTTTTGGCCAGCATCTACGGGTGAGCTTTATAATATCTTCTTGGTTTACACTAGCACAGAGGAGCCTAGCGTCCTTCTTCCATCTAGCTCCATAGTGACAGTGATCCAGCTCAACCAGCGAAACGCGTTTATGGTGCGAGAAGTCGCACATTTCTGCAGTGTGCAACAGCCTGCTCGTCAAGGGGTGCTCAAATATTATAGGGATCTCTACCTTCAAAAAGAACCGAAGAGAGACAAAGCAACTCGAACGAGGCGGTTGCCCAACTCCACAGCCATTATGTCCGCTGGCGTCAGAAGAGAGGCTCGGAAGCCCCATGGCATGTCCCGGCTGCGCACTGGGCGAAACCTGTCATGCGCGAGGGAAAAGGTCTGACAGGGCGGTGCCATCGCTGCCGCAACCAGGCGGCCGGTCCGAGCGCCAGTTTTCGTCGACCGCACCACGGCCAGCGACAGCAGGTCCCGCCACTCTGCGTCGTAAATGACGCCCCAGCTCCTCGCTCGAAAACCCTGCGCCTCCGCCGCGCGCGACGCGGCCGTGCAGCCAGCGAACAGGTCGGCGAGGTGCTGGCCCTTCCCGAGGCGGGCTCGGCGGAGGCGGCCCAGAGAGCGCCCTCCGCGGTGCCCCAAGTGCAGCCGGATCACCTTCGCCACATCTGCACCTCGCGGGGCCGGTCCGTCAGGATGAGCGCCGGCTGCCTCTCCGCCCCCTCGCGGGTCGCACGCAGACGCGGGTCGAGCTTTGCGTAGTCGCTGCCCAGCCTGCTGCTGTGCTCCTAGCGGTGCATCGATTTCGCTTGCGTCCACTCCCCCCGCCGCTGCGCTGCGGTCAAAGTGCGCAGGCCCTTTGCCGCGTCGACGCTGGCGCCAGAGTGCCTCATCTAGTACAGCGCCACTGGGCCCATCCCCAGCTCCGCCGCGGCCTCTTTGAAGAGCGTCGCCGTCTCGGGGTAGTCGAAGTTCCACAGCGGCTCCTTCGATCTCGCCAAGCCGAGCCGGCTGAACACCGCGTCCAAGCCCTGGAGGTACGGCGAGTCCAGGGGGCAGCCCTCGTCGAAGTGCCCACGCTTGCTGGGCTTCTTCAGCTCCTGCGGGTGGGTCACCAGGGCCCAGTATCTGCTGACTCCAGGTGTCGGCGGCGCAAGGTCGCACCGCCGGGCGGCAAACAAAGTCGAGGGCCGCGCGTGGATCGATGCGCCCACCATCAAGATGACAGCCAGGCGCAGGTGCCCCCGCCCCGCTAGCCCCCGGGCCAGCCCGCACCAGACCGGGAAGGTCAAGGCCTTCCTCCGCCGGCCTGGGGCCAGCCGGCGTCAGACCTTCAGCGATCGCCACGTCCGCGGCAGCACGCGGCCTCCCACGCGGCCGAACGCAGGGTTCGCGTTGACCCAGGCCGCTACTGTCTGGTCGCCGCAGCTGCTCTCCTCGCCCTGTAAGTAGTGCGCGGTCGAGTAGATGCACATGAGCTCGTCGATATCCTCGTCGGTCCTCGCCAGCAGCTGCTTCCTGGTCAGGCCGACGTGCGAGAAGAACCGATCGAGGTATCGCTGGTATCTCACACGCGTGGCCGGGGTAACCACCAGGGTCTACAGGAGGCTCACCCCCGAATCCTGCGCCGCCAGGATGGCGTCGGCGCGCAGCCTCGCACGCCGGCGCGCCCTCCTCGCGCGCAACTGCCGCATCCTTACCCGACTCTGTCCGAGGCGGAGCCGCTAGAACTGCCGTCGCCCTCGGCGCCCTCCCCGGCGTCTCCAGCGAGGTCCAGCCCGTTCGCGCCTCTCTCGTCGAGAGCCGCAGGGTCGCCCGTCTTGGGCGGCCCGCCTCTCCAGCGGCAGCTGGGGGGTGGCAGCCAGCGACCTCGCCCTCGCCTGCGAGCCCGGGCGGGGCAGGCTGCGCGTGCCCTCGCGAAGGCCCTCCAGCGCCGCCCTGGCCCCCTGCGCCCGGGCCCGCGCGGCAGGCATCCGAGCGCCCGCCCGAGGAGGGGTCGCCTGCGCCCGAGGTGCCGGCGAGACCAGCGCCCGAGCCCTCTTGGGCGCCATGGCCAGGGGACCCTGGCTGTCCGGGAAGCTCGACTGTTCTGAGCCAAACGGCCACGGAGGGGGCCACAGGCGCTTTCTTCCACAGGGACGGCTCTCGGAGGACGGGTGTGCAGATCTAAACCGGCCTGGGCGTTATCATCAAGAAGGGATGTTAGAATGCGACTGTCGCTCTGTGGAAAAAAACCCTGCTGCCTTCGTCGCACCCATTGGACTCCGAGGGGGTCCATCGAAGAGCGGCCGGAAGCCCTAGCGCTATAGCGCAGGCGTAGAACCGACGGATCTGAACCAGCAAGCTGAAGCAGAGCGAGCGACCCTGGAAAAACACGTAGAACCACAGACATAATGTCGAGCAGAAAGCTGCCGCACGCAAGCTCCGCGCGAGGTCTTGGCCAGCCGTTGGATCGATTTTACGAGGGCCCTGGCTTCCAATATCAGAATGCCCTCGGGGAAACGCCAGACCCCGGGCCGAACGGCCCCCCGACCTCAGCGAACTCGGGGTCGAGCTCCCAGGAGAACAGGAGGTCGGACGCGAGCGGGTCAGGGCCTTTCTCCTCATCAAAAACACGAAGCACACCCGAGCTATCCAGGGCAGGGCTGGCAACCGCGAGCACACTCCCTCGCGCTGGCCTGCCCTGCGCCGAACGGAAGCGGACCCGCTCAGGCAGACGGCCCACCTGCTCCACCACCTTCCTCGGCCAGAACGACTGCGCCATGCCCCGGCCGCTTTCGCTCGCGTCGGTCTTGAGCGCGCAGCAGTTCCATGGCCGCCGCCAGTCCTGCACCTTGAGCACAAGCAGGCCACGGAACATCTCGATCTCCTTCACGACCTCCGCCCGCAGGCGCGCGGCCTGCAGGTAGCGTCGCGGCGCGAACCGGTACGAGGCGCGCCCGCAGCTCAGGGGGCCTCGAAAGGCAAGGCCGCAGAAGGTGCAGTGGCCTAGCACCATCTCCAGGGCCAGCCCCGTCGCCCGACCGCGGGCGAGCAGCCCGCCCAGGCGGAGGTGCACCTTCCAGAAGCGCCCGTCGCTCACGCCCGATCTCATCAGCTCGAGATCGATCTTGGCCCCGAGCGCCTCGCACGCGCCCGAGGAGACGGTGCCCACGTGCAGTTCCAGGCCCGCCGCCTCGAAAAGGCCGGCCCAGTTCTCGAAGGCGCCCGCGGCGAGGCTCTCCGACGGGGTTAGCGCGCCCGCGTTGTCGACGCAGACGCAGGCGCGCCCGCGCTGGCCCGGCCCGACCTCCATCACGAACGGGGGCCCGCGATCGCCCATCAGGGCCCGCTCCGAGAGGGCGGCGTCTCCTCCAGGCCAGGGGTCAGACCGCGGCGCCCGCTCCTCGTTGGCGCCCTGCGCGAGGAAGAGGGGCCAGGAGAAGCCCGTGGGGAGCGCCCCGATGCACGGGTAGACTGGGGCGTCAGCCCCCAGCTTCGCCCCTTCCAGCTCCTGCCCCTCCAGCCCCAACGCATGGGCGGGGGCCGCCGGCAGCGCGAAGAACTTCGCCCGGCTCAGCGGGGTGCGCATCCTGTAGCAGCAGTCCTCGACGTCCGCCATGCCCAAGAGGAGCTCGAAATCGACCAGCAGCGCCTCGACCTCCTTCGACTCGACCGCGATGCCCCCGGGGAGCTGGATCTCCACCCTGCCGAAGCCCTCGCAGGACAAGAGCTGCGCACTCGGGGGCGCGCCGAACCAGGCGTCCGCTGGGCGGGCGTCCACGATCATCCGCATCTTGTCGCTGTCAGCCTGCTTCGCGAAGAACAGGCCCGCCTGTTCCGAAGGGGCCAGGGTGGCGAGCAGGAGCCCGCGAGACGAGAGATCCTTCAACAAATTGTGGTACATCTTCTTGTTCCGCTTCAGCAGCGGGTCAAAGTGCGGAGACGGCAGGCCGTCAAAATCGATCTCGCTGATCGGCCGCCTCGCACGCTTTCGATTCTCCATCCGGCAAGCGCGGCCGGCCTCGCCCACGATGTCTCCCACCTGGCGGCAGCCGACGACCGAAGGGGGCGAGGGCGCACGGCCGCGGAGGTTCCTCGGGGAACCCGACGCGTCGTACATCGAGCACCCCTTGAGCAACGCACTGAGCGCCGCCTCTCGAAACGGACAGGGGCAAGGAGCTGCTGAGCTGCGGCTCGGCGCCGAAGAGCTCCGCTGACCACCCACTGCACGATCCCAGCATGCTTGCCCCCCATGGCGCCCAGGGGGCGCGGCGGGCCCGCGTCGTCGGGCCCCCATCCAGCAGGCCAGTTGAGAGAGTCGATCGCGCCGTTCGCCAATTCAGTCCATGCTCGCGCCGCCGCCGAGCGCCAGCGACGCGGGCGCGGCTGCCGCCCCAGATGGCCGGCGGCCTGGCCAGGCGAGGGAGTGGGAGCACGTCTCGGTCGATCCCCGGTCGCCAAGGCCAGCGGCGCGCGCCGGGCCGTAGTAGTTGCCTGGCCAGCGGGGGCCCACTCCACCAGCCGTGTCTGATCAGTCATGACTGCACGGGCGGCGCGAAGGCGCGTGCTCGGAACTTGTTTCCCCGGCCGCCCCCGCCGCCGCCCCTGCCTCCGCCCTTCGCCTCGCCCTCGGGCACCTCGCGCGAAGCCCGCCCGGCTGCCGCGCCCGCGGCGACCGCCTCGGCCATCGTGCCCCCCTGCATCAGGTCGCACTCCTCCTCGGCCCTCCTCGACGCGTGCGAGCGGAGGCCTGGGGCCATGAGCTGGTCGACCTCGGTCAGCGGCGACAGGTACTTCGCGTTCGAGCACGAGGCCGCGCCGCTATTCTCGCGAGGAGGTTCAAACGGAGGGCTCCAAGCAGGCAAGCCCTCCGAAGTTCAACTGATCGAACTTCGAACTCGCCCGCTTCGCACAGAACACTGAGTTCGTGAGCGACCCGATCCGTCGAAGCGACCCCCTTCTCCTGCAGGAAGCGCCCCAGCCAAGACCGAGGAGACCCGTTCAGATTCAGCATCATCTTGCACGTGCGCAGGCAGGCGCGGTCGGCCAGCAGCCAGCGGTGGTCCCACGCCACGCTCGAGCTCTCCGCCACCGCCCTCTTGAACTCTTCCCGCCTCTCTCCTTGCCCGTTCTAATCGACCCGCAGCGCGCGCGCGTCATGGACCAAATCGTCGCTGGGACTCTGACCAGTGGGCTCTTCAGGAGCGAGGCTCAGTGGCTCGTCGAGGAGGTCGGTGAGCGGCAACCGGCCCGCGGGATCAGCCGGCGGCGGGGTCGCCGCGCCCTCCGCCGGCCCCGCCTCGGCCTGGCCCTGCCTGAGCATCGTCTCCAGGCGCTCGGCGGCGAACTCCAGGATCTCCTCTGTGCTTGGGCGCTGGCGGAACTGGTTGAGCCGGCGGCCGTCGGGCGGGCCCCCCGTCGCCTGATCCAGGAGCGACCTGCTCGATGGCCCTGTCGCGGGCCCCCCCCCGCTCAGGTCGGACGAAAACGCCCAATGGGCCAAGCGGCCGCGGAGATGCCCTCGACAGACTCTCTTGCGGGCCGGCCACAGCACCACCCGCATGCGCCCCATGGCCTCGCCCGCGCGCGAGACCCGGGCCACCGCGCCGACCACCAGGTCAGCGCGGCACCACCACTTGTCCGCGGCGAGCGGGGGCAGGGGCGGCGTGCGACCATAATCTTCGCGAGCTCGGCGGCGCCGGCAGCAATGCAAGGCTCGCGCGGTCTCCAGCGCCGGCGCCGCGATCACGCCCAGCGCCACGGCGACCGCCCAGCCCGCGGGGTCGGGCTCTGCCACGCCGGCCGGCGCCTCCGTCAGCGCGCAGACCTGCGGCGCCGCCGGGCGCGGCGGCGCCCCAGGGCACGTCGGGCAAATGTCGCCCGGGTCGGGAAGCAGCCACGCGGGCGGGCGCGCGGCCTCCAGCGCGCGCGCCGGCAGGGGTGGCCTGGGAAGCGGCCGCGGGCCACCTGGCAGGAGGGCCGCCAGTTCAAGGAGCCCCACCCCGAGCAGGGCGAGGGGGCTGGGCGCCTGATTCAGCTCAGACCGAGAGAGACAGCTTGAGCGGAAATGGCAGCGGGGGAGTCAGTGACAACGGTCGAAAACAATAACATCACATGTGAGGCCCCTCTGCTCAGACCGTTCTAAAACCTCCATGAGGGGGGGGGCGCTCGGAGGCTACATTTCGAGGCGGCGCGCGGGGGCGACGCTTGGGAGCAACGCGCGCGGGGTGCACATGGGGGTTGCATATGGGGGCGGTTCGCACGCGCCGCCGACCCCATCGGTCTCGCCCGCAAGTACGCGTTGACAGAAGAATTGGGGGGGGGGGCTGCGAGATCTCCGCAATACCATGGCCCAGCTATGATATCCACGCACCTGGAGGCCCAAATCGGCCTCCAAGAAGCCCCAGGAGGATCCCAAGGGGCCCCCTCATGGCCACAGAAGGCCCTCACGAGGCCCAAAAACAGGGTCCAATAGGTCCCGCAACAACCCTGAAAATGCTTCAAAATGCCTGACGCCCCCGGGCCCCGAGAGGCCTCGCGAGTTTCGAACGACCATCCAAGAGGCCTCAGACCCGCAACCCAGGTGCGGTGGTGGGATGGGCCGATCGCCAGTCGATCCGCCGCCCCCTGTTGGCTTGCCCCAGGGGTGCCCTGCGTGCTAAACCCTCTCGGCTTTGGTTTGAAATGTGGTTGCGGTTTGAAATGTGTCGCCCAGTTGCCGTTGCGGTTGCGCGCCCGCGGGCGGGTTGAAATGCGTCGTCCAGGTGCGGTTGCAGTTTCGGGCCCGCGGGCGGGTCGAAATGTGTCGCGTCATTTCGTTGCGTGCCCGCGGGCGGGTCGAAATGCGTCGCCCAGTAGCGGTTGCAGTTGCGCGTCCGCGAACGGGTCGACATGTCGCCCAATTGCGGTTGCGGTTGCGCGACCGCGGGCGGTTTGACATGTGTCGCCCAGTTGCGGTTGCGGTTGCGCGCCCGCGGGCGGGTTGAAATGTGTCGCCCACTTGCGGCTGCGGTCGCGCGCCCGCGGGCGGGTCGAAATGCGTCGCCCAGTTGCGGTTGCGGTTGCGCGCCCGCGGACGGGTTGAACTGCGTCGCCCAGTTGCGGTTGCGCGCCCGCGGGAGGGTTAAAATGCGTCGCCCAGTTGCGGTTGCGGTTGCGCGCCCGCGGACTCACCGAGGACCATGTTTTGGAGCCGCCACGACCCCCGAAATAGCCGCTGAATTCCAAAGGAATTGCGCGGCACTCTGTTTTTTTGAAAGCGTGAAATGCTGGGCGCGCAGGCCCGCCTGCAACGCCCCCCCCCCCCGAGCATCCATCTTGAACCAGGCATCGCCGCGGCCGTCGCCATCATCACCGCCAAGACCACAAAAGAACACATCTTACATTCATCATCGCTCTGAGGCACGTCAGCCTGCGTCGCCGCACATCGACTCTTTGCCGCAGCCGAGTGCAGCGCGCTCCCAGCAGCATTCGTCGACAGCTGCCAAAAGCAAAACCGCCGACATGGTCCTTGAAAGGGCCGCCAGGAGGGCCGTCGAAGGGGCCGCAGAGATCGTCGGCGAAATCGCCGCCGAAATTGCCGCCGAAATCGCCGCCGAAATCGCCGCCGAAGTTGCCGCCGACATTGCCGCCGAACTTGCCGCCGAAATTCCCGCCGAAATCGCCGCCGAAATAATTGCGAACTCCGCCAAGATCGCCGCCGAAATTCAGCCGCCAAAATCGCAGCCGAAATTCAGCCGCCGAAATTGTCATTGCCCTGTCCCAAGCGAAATCATTATTTTCATCAAGCTCGATGACGCCGCGGACACAGGCATTGAGTCACAGCCAAAGTGAATTTCGACTTTTTTTCAGCGGCACAATCCGGAATTTCGGCGGAAATTTCGGCGGCGAGTGTTGCTGCAATTTCGGCGGCGATTTCGGCGGCAATTTCGGTGGCAATTTCGGCGGCAATTTCTGCGGCCCCGTCGACGGCTTGTTCGGCACCCCTTTCGGCGGCAATTTCGGCGGCCGTTTCGACGGCTCTTTCCTTTCTGTCTCCAAAGAAAGTGCCGCTACGAGCGGACGGGTCCACATGTGTCGCCCAGTTGCGGTTGCGCACCCGCGGGCAATTTGAAATGTGTTGTTCAAGGTGCCTTCCTGACGTTCAGTCGGTCAATCAGTGAATCAGTCAGTCAATCAATCAATCAATCAGTCAGTCAACCACTGGCTGGCACCGAATTTCACCCGGCCCCGCCGGGAAAGAACAGATAGTGGTCGCCGAAGTAGTCGTAACAGTAGTAGTCGCCAAAGTGTAATACATGTAGTAGTTCTAAGTCGGCATCGTCTCAATAACCACGATAATATTTGCCTATTAAATTTCGATTGAATATTTGCTCGCGAACGGATGGAACATTTTTCGTCGCATTGGCAGAACCTATAGAGGGCTATCAAAAATGAGTTGGCGAATGGAATGTATTTGAGTTGTTATTACTTGTTGCAGGAAGCTGTTGAGTGTTTTCCTAGGCGTTGGCAATCCCATCGACGTTTTTCCTGCCGCTGGCAAAACCATTAAACCATTTCAGGGTGGGCTCGCGCATCGATGGATCGATTGTTGCCCCTATCGAGCGCTGCGTCGGCCTCGCAAAAACAGCGCCACGTGCGCGCCATGAACGCAAATGTGCCTTCCGATGGCACTGAAGACGACGGCGACGGCGACGATCGACGATCGACGACGACGACGACGACAACATCGGCGACAACAACGGCGACGGCGACGACAGCGACGACGGAGGCGGCGACGACGACGGCGGCGACGACGACGGCGACGGCGACGGAGACGGCAGCGACGGCGACGGCGACGACGAACGCGACGACGATGATGACGACGAGGACGAGAACGACAACGACGTCGACCATATCCACGACGTCGACAAACGCCGTCGGATTGCATCTTGGGGAGTGGGGAGGCAGGAGGGAAGAGCAGAAAAGGGGAAGGAGGAACAAAGAGAGGGGAGGGGGGGGGGGGGGAGACGGGACGGAGGAGAGGTCATTGAGGGGTGAAGG